TTTTGTCTCTTAAACATATGAGTCAATCCATAATCTATAGTAACCAGTTAAACCTAAAAATTTTTGGAGTTTTCTCTTTGTCTTAGGCAAAGGCAAACCTATTATTCCCGATATTCTCTCTGGGCTTATTATCCATGTCTCTTCACTATTCAGGTGTCCTAAATATTTAACTTCTTTTTCTACAAACTGCAATTTGTTCTTAGAGACTCGCAATCCCCTTTCTTATAGGAAATTAGGCAAGCTTATGCTGGTTTCTGATACTTTGGCCTTCCTTTCCCAAGAAATTAAAAGTTCATCTACATATTGTAACAACTGGGTTCCCCTGAAGTTTGGAATTCCTCCAGGACTTTTTCTAAGATTTAACCAAATAAGTTTGGGGCTTCCATGAAACCTTGTGGCAGCATAGTCCAATGGTACTGTTGTTTTCTCCCAGTTTTAGGATTTTCTTACTTCTTTTTTTGCCTACCAACATCCAATTACTCCAGCACCATTTGTTGAAAACACTATCCTTCCTCCACTTAATGGCTTTTGAATCTTTGACAAAAATTAGTTGAAGATATTTGTGTGGGTCTAGGGTATTGCTGTCTATTTCACTGATCTATGTGTCTATCTCTCTGCCATTACCATACTGTCTTAATTACCCTGGCATATAATGAGTATTGTATTTGGCTAGTGATATGGTTTGGCTGTGTCCCACCCACATCTCATCCTTAATTGTAGTTTCCATAATCCCCACATGTTGAAAGAAGAAACAGGTGGAGATACTTGAATCATGGAGGCAGGTTCCCCCATCCTGTTCTTGGTAAGTTCTTTACAACAGGCTTTCCCCTTCGCTCAGCTCTCATTCTTCTCCTTCCTGCTGCCATGTGAAGAAGGACATATTTGATTCCCATTCCACCATGATTTTAAGTTTCTTGAGGTCCCCCCCACCAGTCATGCTGAACTGTGAGTAAATTAAACTTCTTTCCTTTATAAATTACCCAGTCTCAGGTATGTCTTTATTAGCAGCATAAAAACAAACTAATACAAGTAAAATGATCCCTCCCACTTAATTCCTCCTTTTCAGAAATATTGCAGCTATTCTGATTTGTTTTTCCAAATAAATTTTAGAATAATCTTGCCTGTATATCAAGAAACAAAAAACCTTGTTGGGATTTTAATAGGAATTGTGTTAAACCTGTATATCAATTTAGGGATCATTAAGTCTTCCTGTCCATGTACATGGTCATTTATTTAGATCTCTGATTTCTTTCATCAGTGTTTTGTTGTTTTCAGCATGAGTCCTTACATGCACTGCCAGATTTACACCTACGTAGTTTTTATTTTAAGCAATTATCAATGGTTTTTTGTTTTTTGTTTTGTTTTGAGAGAGTCTTGCTCTGCCGCCCAGACTGGAGTGCAGTGGTGAGATCTCAGCTCAATGCAACCTCCACCTCCTGGGTTCTCCTGCCTCAGCCTCCTGAGTAGCTGGGACTACAGGCATGTGCCATCGCACCTGGCTAATTTTTGTAATTTTAGTAGAGGTGGGGTTTCACCATATAGATCAGGCTGGTCTTGAACTCCTGACCCCAGGTAATCCACCCATCTCGGCCTCCCAAAGTGCTGGGATTACAGGCATGAGCCACCACACCTGGCCCAATGGTGTATTTTTAATTTTGGTTTCCATGTGTTCATTGCTAGTACATAAAAGTACAATCAACTTTTGTCTATGCTTTTATATTCTAAGACCCTGCTGCATTCATTTTTTAGTCTGAGAAATTGTGCAGATTCCTTAAGACTTTTTAACCATGTTTTTCATTTCATTTTTTAAAAGTTCATCCATTCAAAAAATTGTTAGATTCGGCTGGGTACAGTGGCTCATGGCTGTAATCCCAGCATTTTGGGAGGCCGAGGTGGCAGGATCATTTGAGGTCAGGAGTTCGAGATCAGCCTGGCCAACATGGTGAATCTCCACCTCTATTAAAAATACAAAAATTAGCCAGGCATGGTGGTAGATGCCTGTAATCCCAGCTACTCAGGAGACTGAAGCAGGAGAATTGCTTGAACCTGGGAGGCAGAGGTTGCAGTCAGCTGAGATCACACCCCTGCACTCTAGCCTGGGCAACAGAGCAAGACTCCATTTCACAAGAAAAAAAAAAAAAAAAAAAAGGAAAAAAAATTGTTAGATTGTTTACCCTAGTGTTCTAACTGCTAGATAAAACTAAGAAAATTAAGGGTTTTTTGACCTCATGAAGCTTAGATTCTAGAGGACAGAAAAAGGCTGTACACATATAGTAAATGAAGAGAATGGGAGGAAAAGACACAAGAGCAACTTTATGTAGAGCCTTAAAGTCAATAGTAGCCATTTAAATTTTAAGATGAGAAGCACTGAAGATTTAAAATAGGGCAGTAAGGCTGCTCTGCCTATGAAGTAGCCATTCTTTTATTCCTTTACTTTCTTAATAAACTTGCTTTAACTCTACACTGTGAAAAACATTAAATGAAATAGGGTCATGAGATTAGCTTGGTGTCCACTTTAAGTCATTAAAAAAAAAAAAAGCGGTTGGAGTCTGTTTTTCTTTACAGCTTAAAAAAAGTATATGAACATAAATTTCATAAAGTCAGGGATTATTTGTAATTACTTCATATGATGATTTATTGATCACAGTCCTCTCTAACCTATACATTTTGGTTTTCTTTTGATTCTATAAGGTGATATAAACTTCCTAGGAGAAAACTAACCTCATAATAATGTTATTGCAGTTGGCCAACTCTAACCACTGCTTTTGGAACTGCCTTTTCTCTTTGCTTATCACAAACATAAACGCACACACACACACACACACACACACACACACACTTTTCATCTAATAGTATAATGGAAATAATAAAGACTCTAGAGTCAGACTTTAGCATTTTTTTAACCTCTCGTGGCTTCAGTACCTTATCTATAAAATGCAGCTATTAATATCTACTTCCAAACCCTGCTTTGGGAACTAAGAATAAAGCATAATATATTGAATTCCGGGCACAAAGAGGTTGCTCAGTAAATGATCATTCCCTATCCTGTGCTTTTTCTCTTTCATCCCCACCACTCAGCTCCCATTCTCAGATTTAAGATATTTGTAAAACCATGTAATTAGCAACTGAGGCCTTAGACTAAATCTTTATACAAAATTTTAAAGCCCATTACAATAGCACCCACTAATCCAATGATTAGTGGCATGACTCACTGTAACAAAACCTTCCACAGACTTCTGAAAATATTTTAAAATATTAAAAAGGAACATGGTATTATTATAGAATTTTTAGCTATGTTAAAAAATAAAGTTGGCCACTTGCAATTGAAATCTTATAAACATAAAAGAGCGTACTATATACATAATTTTTTTTAACCAGTGGCAAACCAGGTCTATTATGACATTACGCAATTTATATTATATGGACTGAAAACTAATAGCATTATGTTCTCAGACAAATTATTTTGTTAACATTCAATTTTTCAAGACCTAATATCAACAGAAAGAAGAAAATGTTACAGACAAATCAAAGTAATCTGTCAACTTTTAAATTAATCATTTTTTTTTCTTGTCTGCTTTGGAATAATCACTTCATTGCTACTATTCAGCAATCTTCATTCATCCTGTTAGTTTGTTAGCACAAAGACTAATTCCAAATCTCCTCCACTCCATCTCAAATCCATGATGCTTAATGCTTAATTCCTTAATATTTTATTTTCTATATTATTTTTGTCTTTCACTGTGGCACTATTCCCAGTAAAGACAAACATCTCTGTACCTCTACCTCCTGCCTATTGGAAAAAGGAAAGCTCCAAAATCATTCCTGTCTCTAGCATGACTGATAGATCAATTACTTCAATTCTCTTTATAATCTTCAGTGTCTTCCTATAAAACAACTTGGTCTTAAGTTCCCTTTTACCCAGCTCCTGTCTCCTCTAAACTGCTCTTCTTAAGGCTACCATAATCAACGTGTTAAATATATTACTGTAATCGTGTTTGTAACTTGGTTAAAAAGAAAAAAAAATTACTTAGCAAATTGAAATAACAGAATTTTGTTCATTTTTCTACTGGACATTTTAAATGACCTATTTCTTTAAATTGTCTGTATTACAGGGCCTTAATGTCTAATTTCACAACTATATTAACCAAGCCTGAAGGAGGTATAGTTAGGCAATATTTTCCAATATAAAGACTTCTGATTAAAGTTTAAATTCTTATTGTGAATCTTTGGAATCTGGCATGAAAGAGAACAAGCATGATGACTGCATCTATTCTTTCCTATTGTAAACCATCTTCAGTGTCAACATATACATTAAGTTTTATGGTATTTATTTCGACCTGGTTTTCTGTTTTCAACGTACTCTTTCGTATGACACAGGTATAAAAACACTTTGATTCTAATACGCCATTTTCCTTACTCTCCTCACATTTTTTTGGACAGCTTACAATTTTGATATGGTATAAAAGCTCACGAACTGGGTCTTTACTACAGGCCTGCAACTGATACTGATGGTCGCTAAATGGTAGGTATGCCATCGGTATTGCTCTTACTTTAATAACGTCGCATTTAGGTGCGCAAGCGCAACTCTAGACGCATTGGGCCAGGGCAAAGACTTCTCAATCCGAATTTTGAGTTTTCCTTACTTTTCCCCTAAATGCTCTTTTCCTCGGATTTCACATCAATAGCACTTTCTCGAGTTCTCACGAGTAACCTGACCCAGGCGGAACCGACGGAAACTAGCCGGTGAGAATCCTACAGTCGCAGCCATCCGAGCAGCGTCCACCCAGGGACGCTCCGCGCGGAAGACCGCCTGTGACTCGACACACTCTCCAGTGACGCGGAAGTGCCACACGTGCGCGGCGGGGCGGGAAGGAGGGTCCGAGCGCCGGGGAAGGGGAATCTAAGAGTCGGGACGGAGGGGAAGGAGCAGGAAGAGAAGGAGGAAACGAGGGGCGGTCCCTTCCGGAGGTCCCTAGGTCCTCCACTTCCTGTTTGCCGGCACTTCAAAATCCGGGTCAGAGGGTGTCGCTTCGTTTTCTTCTCCCCGGCTGATCCCGGCACCCTCCGTGACAGCGCCTCCTGACTCAGCCTGGGGCCGGCTTTTCACCACCTGCCGGAGGCTGGACGCCCACACCTGACTCGGAGCCCGGAGGCTCGCGTCCTCCCCGCACCGGCTCGCAGCCCGGGTCCCTGAGCGCCCGCCGACGCCGCCGAGGGGGCCCGGGCTGGCTCCTCCGCGCTGATGCTAAGAGGGATCGAGGGCCCGGGGCGGCGGCGGAAAACCGGCCTCTGGCGCCTTAGGCCAGCCGCAGGTGTCGGTTCTTACGCTCTCCAGGCTCGCCAGCTCCCGCCCCGGCTTGGATGGGTCTCCCCGCCCGATAAATGTGGCTGCTGAGGCGGCGGTGTTGGTGGCCCTTCACGCTGCTGCTGCGGCGCTCCAAGCTCACCTCCGCCCCGGGGCTCTCCTGCCCCACCTCTGGGCTGCCGCCACCGGCTCCTTATCCCCTGGCCCTGGCCTTGCAGCGTGGCGACAATGGACAAGATCCTGGAGGGCCTGGTGAGTTCCTCGCATCCGCTGCCCCTCAAGCGGGTGATTGTGCGGAAGGTGGTGGAATCGGCGGAGCACTGGCTAGACAAGGCGCAGTGCGAGGCCATGTTTGACCTGACGACCCGGCTCATCCTGGAGGGCCAGGACACTTTCCAGCGGCAGGTGGGGCACCAGGTGCTGGAGGCCTACGCACGGTACCACCGGCCAGAGTTCGAGTCCTTCTTCAACAAGACCTTCGTGTTGAGCCTCCTTCAGCAGGGCTACCACTCTCTGGACAGGAAGGACGTAGCCATCCTGGACTACATTCACAACGGCCTGAAGCTGATTATGAGCTGTCCGTCGGTGCTGGATCTCTTCAGCCTCCTGCAGGTAGAGGTGTTACGGATGGTGTGTGAGAGGCCAGAGCCGCAGCTCTGTGCCCGACTAAGCGATCTTCTGACCGACTTCGTGCAATGCATCCCCAAGGGGAAATTGTCCATCACCTTCTGTCAGCAGCTGGTTCGAACGATAAGCCACTTCCAGTGCGTGTCCACGCAGGAGAGAGAGCTGCGGGAATATGTCTCCCAGGTGACAAAAGTGAGTAACTTGCTGCAGAACATCTGGAAGGCCGAGCCTGCCACCCTACTGCCTTCCCTGCAAGAAGTTTTTGCAAGCATCTCTTCCACAGGTAAGGGTCATTATCTTTCAGAATATCTCATAAAAATTCAGTATATGTCACTCTTGCACACATATATTCACACCATGTTTGCCTTCTGCCCTGAAAACATTCTTAAGGGTGAGCAAATCCTAATACCCTTATCCCAAATTTATTAACATTCACTACCTTATTCAGGATGTCACTTCGTACTTTTAAAATAGGCAGTGTTCCCATTTTAAAGTTTGAGAACGTCCAGGTCCAAGACCTTTGGCAGTAAACAAGTTGCTTAATTACCCAGCCTCTGCTCAAGTTATTTGGAATGCTTTGAGGATGACAGCTACTGCAGAAAGCTTCCATTCATTAGTGACTAATGGTAGCATGATGTTTACCATAGTATTTGTTGTACGTATCTCTCATATTTTGTAATGAGTTTTTCCCCCATTTTTTTATTCCCTTATTTTGGAATTAATGGATTATGCAGTTTGTTTTATTACTGGATTATCGCAGTTAACGGTGAAGTTTTTAAATACTGCGATAATCCAGTATCTACGTAGTAGACAAAGGAGGGATACAGGTAGAAGGAGGGAAGGAATAGTACGTGGATTTAAATATTTACTTTTGTGCCCATGAACTGCATCCTCGGAAAGCAGAGAAGGGTCACATGATACTTGCCTAGAACACGCTTTCTCGCCGAGATATTTTACCAGTACCTCTACATTCCTTGTTCTGTCGTGGACTTTCAAGTCTGTAGGTTGTGAGATAATACATTCAAAACCATGTTCATTTCCGCTCTACTTGGTACAAGCATTCTGCCTCATTTATACCACCAATGGGGACTGTCTGGCTGTTCAAAATTGAACTTGTGAGGGACGTGTCCTCTTTTTATCTTAAGAACCAGAAGTAAAGGTAGAGTTTTAACAAACGTCCTATGTTCTGATGAATTTAATATATTTATGAAAGAATTACAAACGATGTATTTGCAGTATCTGAGTTGCTTTTTTTTTTTCTTATTGTAATTTTACATCTATTGCCTATGTTGTCATGACAGTTAGGTTCCCCCAAAATTTTTTCAACTGTAGCAGGAAAGGTGCCTATTTGCTTAATTTGTATATAGTTCAAGCAAAGTTCCCCCAAAGGTCACCTTAATTTCTACTTTAAGAGATTTTTTTAAATCTTCCTTAGAGCAATGAAATGATTAATAGTTTCAAGTTATTTTGGAGGGTCTAAAGTAGGAATTGAAATGATACTTTATATTTCTTTATATTTTCTTTCTGATTGATTTACAAGTGAATATTTTAGTGCAACAGTAACTCAATAAATTGTGAAAAATTTAAGTAACTTATTGACTAACCATGGCAAAATATTTCAGTATTCTGTCTATAGTATGAGTGATCATTTCTGTTCACTCTTAATCTTTCATTCCTGTAATTTAACATTGCTTGTAAATTAGAGTCTACCCATGAGGGTGTAGCATAATAACTCCTTCCTAATTAACGCCTTTGCTGCAATTCCTTTTCTTTTTTGGAAAGTGGTGTTCTTTTTAAATACTTGAACCTTCTTGCCGTGTTTCCTTTTCTTTTTTGAAAAAACAGATGCATCATTTGAACCTTCTGTAGCATTGGCAAGCCTTGTGCAGCATATTCCTCTTCAGATGATTACCGTTCTCATCAGGAGCCTTACTACAGATCCAAATGTAAAAGATGCAAGTATGACCCAAGCCCTTTGCAGGTACTTCTTCATGCCGCTATTAATGGTAATTGTAGATTTGGGAAGAGGAAATACTTTGTATTTTGTGAGTAATGAAAAACTTATGAATGTTTAAAACTGAAATCATGGAATCACATGTATAAAGATTCTCCAAATAGATTGGAATTGTTTACCTTATAGTGTTTACAGGCATTCCAATAATTCACAAATCTATTTTCAATTCAGCTTTTTTAATTCCCGAAATATACACGCATATACACATATTATACACTCAGAAGTTGGTTGGGTTATCATTATATAGTATAACTAATTTCTTTGCTCATTATTGTTTCCTGCAACCTATTTCTTCTGCGTTTTTCCCCCTCTTTCTTTGTTTCTTTCTTTCCTTTCTTTCTTTCCTTTCTTTCTTTTGTAAGTATATACTTTACTTTCTCTTTCAACCAGGCTCAATGGGTAATACGCTCTTTGCCTTTGCCTGTTTGAATTTTTTTTCTTTCTCAGTTTTAAATCGATGATTTTGCAAGATACGGAATTCTAACTTGATAGCCATTTTTTCTTTGCATTTTAAAAATAATACTGTGTTACCTTTGGGCATCTATTATTGCTGGTAGGAAGTCAACTGTCAATCTGATTGTTACTCCTTTGTGTGTAGTCAGCTTTCCTGGAAACTTTTATGTTCTCTTTATCCTTAATGTTCTATAGTTTTATTCTTACAGTTCTAGGTATAATCTTATTTGCCTTTCTCAGCACTTTGTCACTTTTATTTAGTCATTCATTCATTTATTCAAACCACACTTATTGAGTACACACTACCATGAGTGCCAGGCAGTGTTCAAAACGTCCTCAAACAAACTAATAAAAATATCTGCCTTTATGGGCTTGCATTCTAGTTGGGGAGGCAGACAGTAATTTAATAACACACTTCTTTGATTCCAACATGCCTTCTAATTTCAAAGATATTTAAATGTAGAAATGCCCAGTCATTCGTGTCCTAGTTAAATTGGCATGACTTTTCTTGCCTTAGTGGTACATAAGCTAATTATGCATCTTAAAATTGATTTTGTTTTAGATTTAATTAAATATGACAAGTAAAATAATTTAGTATGTTAGATAGTGATACATGCTTGGGAAAAAAGTAGATAAAAAGAGGGATAGGAGTAGTCAGGAAGGGGATAGATTATGGGGAAGTGGTTTGCAATTTTAAATAAGATGGATGAAGAAGGCTTCACTGAAGTGACCATGAAGTGAAGACATGAAGGATGTGAAGAAGCAAACCTGTGGATATCTGAGTGGAAGAATATCAGTGCTATTTTATAGTTCACTAATTTTCTCTTCAAAGGTGCTCATCTGTGGATCTTAGTTACTGCGTTCCTTTATTTCAATTACTATTTTTTTCTAATTGAGTTTTTTATGTCTACCTGTTAATACCTGCCAGTTTCTGTGGTTTAATTCTTTTCTTGTGTGTGTGTATATTAAGCTAATTTAAATACAATATAAGGATTTGGACAAAATGGTTTCTGTGCCCTTGTTATAAAATTATAATCATAAGGTAACATATAAACTGAGGTATTCATATTGAGTTCTCAGCTCCATTTGTACTAATTTCACTCTTTGTAACACAAACTCTAGGGACTTTGATTTTCTCCACATTTTCCCCCTTTTCGCTTGTTTAAAAAGGTCTTCCACGTCTAGCGTTTATTCTTTCTTCTTGTGTTCTTAAACATAATTGAATCAATTTATCTGTAGCTTTTACTTTGACTTTCCAAGGTTTGTCAAAGTACTTTGTATGTTTGAGAAAACGTTGTGTAAATGTTTTTCCTGTTATGTGACCTATAGCCTCATTGCTTTTCATTTATGATGATCCCCTTGCTGTATTTGGCAATCTATATTTTTATTCTCATCTCCTCGAGGTCTTCGTATTCATTGTTCTTGAAATTCTTGTCTCTGACCCCATATTATTAGGAATTTCTTTCTGTATCCTTTTTATTTTCTTCCCATTATTATCATCACTTTATCAGTTCTGATCTGTATGTGGTTGACTTCTAAGTCTTTATGTAAAGTTCTCATTGTTCTGTTAAGAAACTCTTATCTTGTTCATGTCCTCATAATGAAACTCCTTCTGTGCCCTATTTAGCAGCAACATGCTTTTGTCAGTGTGACTGAAGCAGCAATAAAGTCTCTTTCTCTTTGGAATGAATATTTTATAACTTATATTTCCTCCTGATAAAACAGATTCAGAAAATTATAGATTTTATAGCTGGAAGTGAAATTGGAGATTAGTTAGTCCATCACTTTCATTGCATAGGGTCATAGTAGCAGATTTTCTTTACATGACATAAATTATTTAATACTCACCACAGTCTTTTGAAATCAGTACTGTTGTTGGCCCCATCTCATAGTTGAGGAAACTGAGAGGTTAAATAATGTACCCTATCTCATTCAGGTAATAAACAGTGAATTCTGTATTTGAACTTAGAGTTACAATATAGTCACCAATGAAGAAACAAAGCAGAGTAGTCAAGTTTGTCACTTAGGGCCACTCACTTAAAGGCAGAACTTATCTTCATGGACTGATGTTGGTTTTTTTTTTTTTTCCTTTTTTTTTTAACTTAAGTTGACACTAATTCTAGATATCTGGTCACAAACCTATAAGCAATTTTCCACTCCATCCTTTCTTTTATTTTATTTCCTTTGATTAACATAATTAATAAGTCCTTTGGATTATTTATTAAGGACATTTATTAAAATGACACTTATTCTATCTCCACTATCTTGAAGAAATCAGGCTTTCCTCTCTGCATAGTTTTTTAGTTGGTCTTTTTGCTAGCTGTGGCTGACTTTTCTTCTCTCAATCTTCTGGACTCCTGATTTTTGTCTTCTAATAAAAACATTGTAGTAACTTCCACTGCCAAGTTGAATGCAAATTCCACTTCTTAGCATTTAGTCATCTTAATTTTCTAGTCTCTTCAAAAACAGTCATAGTACCCAATTTAGGATTTTTTTTCAAGATGTATTTGGAAATTAATTTGTACCTATTTGTTTCTATGGGGAGTTGTGACTCAGTTTTTGTGTTACATTTCCAGTATTTCCTGTGTGAACCTATCTACCCATAACCTACATAAAGTAATTATTCTTATATAGAAAATGTAACTGAAAGGGATAGTGATAATTGTTTTTACCACTCCTTCCACTTTATACCTCCCCGTGCACTATACTTTCCCAAATATAGCAGTGATCATGTTTCACAATCATTTTCCATAATCCATAGAAATGCAAATGCAAATACCATACCAGGACCAAACAGATAATATTAAAATATGAAATAGGCCAGGTATAAGTGAAATGATAAGGAATGGGATACATAAGCACCTTCTGAAAGAGAAAACTGATCATCAACTCCAGTTGTCCATTGATGTGAGGAAATTGGAATCCAGTCTTGTTTGATGTGATTTTTCAAAAGAAGCCTGAAATCCAGTTTTCTATGTGAAATTTCCCAATGTTTAAAACATAAAGACAAATATAAGGGAAGGCTACCTATAGTCCACAAGCTGCCATGTAAAAGTGGAAATTGGTTTTATTCTCCATAAATTATGATTAATCCAATCTTGGTATCTTTCGTAATTTTGCCAGTTTTACTATTATGGTTTTAAAGTTGCAAGTATTTTTCTTTAGCTATATAAAGAAATGGTTTCATTTATTTAATAAATTTAAGTTCTTACTCAGTGCCAGGCACTATGCTAAGTGCTGGGAATCCAAAGATATGTAAGAGATCACTGCTCTCAAGCTCGCAGTCTAATGGAGGAGACAGGTCTTGGAGTATATGAATAGTAAGTATATAGTTAAATGTTATTTAAATAGTAAGATATTAAAATCAGCATACCAGGGTTAAAAGAAAGTGTCCTGAGAATTCAAATTGATAATCACTGATACATGGTAGATAAGATTCTTATAGTTAGCCATAAAAATCCTACAGTCCCTGCCTCTACTGGAGAAGAAACAGGCATGGGCAAGTCCAGTCAAATTGAAACAGAACTGGAATATAATTAAAATGTAGCGGAAAAAAAAAAATGCATTCTATGCTGGCAGAGTTTAGTTTAAATGCCCATACTATTATTTGATAATTGTGTGATTGTTGACAAATTTCCTAACTTTTCTTTCCATTTTAAGGGCAGAAACCATGTCTTATGGTTATATTCTCAGCACCAAACACAGTACCTGCTATATAATACACAAATACTTATTTCATGAATGCTTTCTGACTTAGTCTGTTTGGGCTACTATAACAAAATACCTTAGATTGGGTTATTTATGAGCAATAGAAATGTATTTCCCACAGTTCTGGAGGCTGAGAAATCCAAGGTCAAGTTGCCAGCAGATTTGGTATCTGGTAAGGGCCTGTTTCTTTAGATGGAGCTTTCTATGTGTCTTCAAATGGCAGAAAGAGCAGGCGTGCCCCCTTCAGCTTCTAATCCCACTCACTAGCCACCTGACAAAGGCCCCACCTCTTAATACCAACACATTGGGGTTTGATTTTAATGTATGAATTTTAGAGGGACACAAACGTTCAGACCATAGCAGCTTTTTATTTGTGTACCATCTGATATGAAGTTTATTTATAGGTGGTCGGGAGAGTGGTGTACATAAAATAAGGTAAAGAATAAAAGCTTATGAGATAGAAAGGCAGAAATGGAGAGGATGAGAAAAAGGCTGACTGAGTAATGGATAGTGAAAAGCCATGGCCAAGTGGAATTTTTGTACTTTCTGTGCTCTAACCCTTTCTCGATACTTGCCTTAGACTGAGCTAAAGGGGATTCTGGCCTTGAGACCTGTATTCTGGCAAGCTCTGTTGCCTCTATTCTGACAGTGACTTCCCATGAGGCAAAGAATCCACAGAGCCAAGGTGTGGTCATCCATGCCCTGCCTCTAGATTACATCTTTTTTCTATGTCCATATTTACATATATATATTCACATGATTTTCTTTTAAACTAAAATTGTTTTTCATAAAAACTGCTGGTATTTTTTTTTCCATCTTAATTCAACAATTTCTCAGCTCTTTCTATTTTAGACTCTTCATGGATAGATCATGTACATCTATCTTATTATTTAAAACTTTATATAGTTTCCATAGTATCAATACCATAGTATCTTCAGCCATTTCCTTATTGACAATCATTTAAGTTGTTCAGTTTTTCTATATTATAAACAACGCTACAGTGAATACCTTTTGTACACAAATGCAAGTGTGTCTCTGCTTTGCTACTCTGTATAAGTAGAATCACCACAAGATTTTATGAAAATCACCCCCACAATAGTTAGAAGATGTGAAACAACTGTCAAGGACTACTTTAATGATTTGTAACCATCATTGTTGGAAAAGGCCAGAAAAACAAGAAAGGAAATAAAATTTGTGTAGCGAATGGAGGGAATACACACATAACTTATAGTTAACATGCATTTGGACTTTGGGGCAACTCTTAATATTTGAATGGACCTTTTAATCTTAAAAGCAAAAACCTTAATAAAAATAACATTCTAGTATTAATGTAGATAGTTATATAACACAACTGCTGTGAAAATAACCATATCAATGAAGATGTCAGTCCTTTGACCAGGTGCAGTGGCTCACGCCTGTAATCCCAACACCTTAGGCAGTAAAGGTGGGCAAATCACTTGAGGCCTGGATTTCAAGACCAGCTCAGGCAACCCCCTTGGTGAAACCCCATCTGAGAAAATACAAAAATTAGCCAGATGTGGTGATGCACATCTGTGTAGTCCTAGCTACTCAGGTGGCTGAGGAGAGAGGGTCACTTGAGCCTAGGAGACGGACATTGCACTGACCCGAAGTAATGCCTCTACACTCCCATCTGAGTAATAGAGCAAGACCACGTCTCAAAAAAAAGATGTCAGTCATTTTAACATATTAGTTTTTATTTTAGTAATGTATTTATGTCCTTAGTATTTATATTTGCATTTTATACAGTCAAGGTATTTATTTATTGACACATGTATTAACATTTGATGGGGAAAGAGGCATTCACAATGAGTATTTCCAGTGTTATGGATTAATTCATTTAATCTTCACAACAGTCCCATAAAATAAGCATGTTTATCTGTAATTTATAGGCAAAGAAACAGACATAGAGAGGTTAAAAAACCTGTTTAGATATTTAAGGTGCCCTATCAAATAAATGGTGAACTGAGATTTTTAAACCAGTCACTCTGGCTTCAAAAACTCATTTTTCCCTCTTCTTTTTACTTAGTGTATAATCCTAAAAATAGGATTACTAGGTCGAAGTATATGAACATTTGCCTCAGTTGCTTTCTTTTTTCTTTTTTTTTTTCTTTAAGAGTCAGAGTCTCACTCTGTTGCCCAGGCTGGAGTGCAATGGCGGGATCTCGGCTCATTGCAAACTCCAGCTCCCAGGTTCAAGCCATTCTCCTGCCTCAGCCTCCCAGGTAGCTGAAATTACAGGCACATGCCACCATGCTTGGCTAATTTTTTTATTTTTAGTAGAGATGGGGTTTAATCATGTTGGCCAGGCTGGTCTCAAACTTCTTTTTTTTTTTTTTTGGAGACAGAGTTTCGCTCTTGTTACCCAGGCTGGAGTGCAATGGTGCGATCTCGGCTCACCACAACCTCTGCCTCCTGGGTTCAGGCAATTCTCCTGCCTCAGCCTCCTGAGTAGCTGGGATTACAGGCACGTGCCACCATGCCCAGCTAATTTTTTGTATTTTTAGTAGAGACGGGGTTTCACTATGTTGACCGGGATGGTCTCGATCTCTTGACCTCATGATCCACCCACCTCGGCCTCCCAAAGTGCTGGGATTACAGGCTTGAGCCACCGCGCCCAGCCTGGTCTCAAACTTCTGACCTCAGGTGATCTAGCCCCTTGGCCTCCCAAAGTGCTGGGATTGCAGGCATGAGCCACTACACCTGGCCTTCAGTTGCTTTCTGAAAGAGCTGTACCAACGTTCGTTGTGTTAGAGATCCAACTTTGGAGAGTGTTTCTGTCCGATCCCATATTACTTTGTTTTTTTCATTAATTTGGTTTGATATTCAAGAAAAGCACTCAATAGTGCAAAATGAGGCCAATACAGTATTTATAGACTTAGTGCTCTTTTATATATTTGAAGTTTCTTTTCGTTGTCTTTGGATAGTAGGATTTTGAAAATGCTGAAGATACCTCTTTCATAATTCAAAATAAAGTCTTTTTTAACAGTACATTTATATTAGACTGTACTCACCAGGAAAGAGGAATCTTGGTTCATATTCATATGTCTTAGTTCGGATTACACTTCGGCTGCTCTTTTTAGAGTAAAAATTTGCCTAATAAATTACTGATATAAGTTGAGCATCCCAAATTGGAAATGTTCAAAAATCCAGTACTTTTTGAGTGCTGACATGATGCTCAAAGGAAATGCTCATTGGAACATTTCAGATTTCAAATATTTGGATTTGAAATGCCCAACTAGTTAAGTATATAATGCAAATAACTGAAAATCCAAACCACTTCTGGTTTCCAACATTTCAGTTAAGGAATATTCATCCCGTGCCACTATATAGCATAAATTTTAAGTTTTGTATTTATGCAAAATAATTTATCAGAAATTATTTTTATGGAAATATGTTGAACATGAGAAACTGTCAGTTTACAAGATTGGAAACTCCATTAGAACAAGCACCTGTTACACTCATTTCTACATCTTGGTCAGTACTTTTCACCAGCAAATTCAGTAAATATTTATTCACAAAGTGAGTGGTCGTCTACTGTAGCTTTTGTTATCTCTAACTAAATGAAAATATTTTCAATACTGATTGTTTTGCTTTCCTTCAATTTCAGAATGATTGACTGGCTGTCCTGGCCATTGGCTCAGCATGTGGATACATGGGTAATTGCACTCTTGAAAGGACTGGCAGCTGTCCAGAAGTTTACTATTTTGATAGATGTTACTTTGCTGAAAATAGAACTGGTAAGTGGGAGTATGGAAATCTGTTAGAATATATGGACTCATGAAAATCAATATTTTTATCTTTGGGTGATATCCTTGAAAGCATCTAATTTTGAATATGTTATTGTTATTTTGTTTTGTCTAACAGTTTTGAAAAGGCTTTAGAAATTTTTTAAAATGTCATTTAAGAAGGCTGGGCGCGGTGGCTCAAGCCTGTAATCCCAGCACTTTGGGAGGCTGAGGCGGGTGGATCACAAGGTCAAGAGATCGAGACCAACCTTGGTCAACAAGGTGAAACCCCGTCTCTACTAAAACTACAAAAAATTAGCTGGGCATGGTGGCACGTGCCTGTAATCACAGCTACTCAGGAGGCTGAGGCAGGAGAATTGCCTGAACCCAGGAGGCGGAGGTTGCGGTGAGCCAAAATTGCGCCATTGCACTCCAGCCTGGGTAACAAGAGCGAAACTTCGTCTCAAAAAAAAACAAACAAAAACAAACAAACAAACAAACAAAAAATGTCATTTAAGTGTAAGTAATTAGGCTGGGCATTGTCGCTCATGCCTATAATCCCAGCACTTTGGGAGGCCAAGGCAGGCAGATCACTTGAGGCCACGAGTTCAAGACCACCCTGGCCAACATGGCAAAACCCCATCTCTACTAAAAATACAAAAATCAGCTGGGCATGATGCTGCATGTCAGTAGTCCCAACTACTTGGGAGGCTGACGCATGAGAATCACTTGAACCTGGGAGGCAGAGGTTGCAGAGAGCCAAGATAGTACCACTGCACTCCAGCCTAGATGACAGAGCAAGACTCTGTCTCAAAAAAAAAAAAAAAAAAAAAAGTACTAGGCCAGGTGCGGTGGCTGAAGCCTGTAATCCCAGCACTTTGGGAGGCCGAGGCGGGTGGATTACGAGGTCAAGAGATCGAGACCATCCTAGTCAACATGATGAAACCCCATCTCTACTAAAACTACAAAAAATTAGCTGGGCATGATGGCACATGCCTGTAATCCCAGCTACTCAGGAGGCTGAGGCAGGAGAATTGCCTGAACCCAGGAGGCGGAGGTTGCGGTGAGCTGAGATCGCGCCACTGCATTCCAACCTGGGTAACAAGAGCGAAACTCCGTCTCAAAAAAAAAAAAAGTACTTAAAACAATTTTTTTTATTTTCAAATATCCAATACAAAAACATTCTTTCCATCATCTCTTGAATCCAACTAATCAAGCTTTTACCACTATTACTCTACCAATGCTTTCCAGTGTTGCTAAACTCAAGAGTCATTTCTCAGGCCTCTTCTCATTTGACCTGTCAGTAATATTTGACATAGTCAGTCACTCCCTCTTTTTTCGGGATATTATACTCGCTTGATTTTTGTCGTCCTTCACAGGCATATCAGTCTCTTGTACTTACTCTTTCTAACTTTTAGAATACCTTACAAGTCAGTCTTTGGTCCATTTTCTTATCAGTGAATAATCACAGCATAGGTGTTCCATGGCTTTAAATAACATCCCTAATTTGATGACTGCCAGATTTATATTTTTAGTCACCCCTGAACTCCATATTCATGTGTCCATCTGTCTTTACATGGATCTCAGATTCACTTTATCCACAATCTTACTCATGATTTTTCTCTCCCAGACTAGGTCTTCCCCATCTTAATAATGGCTACTCTATCCTTTCACTTGCTCAGGCCAAAAACCCTGAAGCTATTCTTACCTTTTTTTAATTCTCTCTCAGCCCATATCCTACAAATTCTACTGACACCACCTTTATAATATATCTAGAATCCTACCACCCGATCCTACGTCCTCATCTCTTGCTGCAAGGTTGCAGCAGCCTTCCTGCTCCTGTCCTTGGTCCCCTATACTTGTCACACAGGTCCTATGTGTTCTGGCCCACTTCTTCACTAATCCCATCTCCCACTGTTCTTACCTTGGTCTCTTGCTTCACTTACACTGCCCTTTTGCTTCATCTGTAGCACATCAGCCTGAAGGCCTCGGAGCCTTTGCAATCTTGTTTGCCCTGCCTATAATGCTTTTGTTCCAGGTATTTGCCAGGCTTATTCACTCCCTTCAGTTTTGTAGTTAGATACCACTTTTTTCATGAGCCATTTCTTGAATGCTATATAAAACAGCAGATCTTTGCTATGTAGCAGTCCTTGTATCATACCCTGCTTTAAATTTGTTGATAACACTTACCACCATGTGTTATTTTTTATTGTTTCTACCTACCCTCTAGATGATAAACTCTGTAAGACAGAGATTTTTTTTTTTTTGATCCACTGTCGTAGCACTAGTTCCTAGAAGTAGGACAAGTAATAGTATGTGCGTAACAAATATTTGTCAATTGAATTGAATGAATGGTGGACTAGGGAGCTATCGCCTTGTAAACATAATTTGACAAATTTTTATTTAGTTGGAGAGTTTTAACAATTGGTTAGGCCAGTTACATTCCCCTTGATCTCTGTTGTATTGTTATTTCCTAACTTCATCCTTCTCTCAAAGTTTAATACCGTAAGTTATGATAGAAATTTCCAGAAGGGGGACATTCATATGAATAATTTTTAGCCCTAGAAAAATAACCACTGTTAGATTAATGATTTTTCTACAAACTCTTAAGATGGTGTCTTGTCTTATTTTGAAGGTTTTTAATCGACTTTGGTTTCCTCTTGTGAGACCTGGTGCTCTTGCAGTTCTTTCTCACATGCTGCTTAGCTTTCAGCATTCTCCAGAGGCGTTCCACTTGGTAAGTTATGACATACACTTTCTATTTAGTTTAATACTGAGTCACATTTTTCATACTGAAAATATTGCAAGTTAGTCCTAAATCTGTTTTCATATTGCTTTATGATTTCCTAAAAAATTGAAATTGTGAGATTTCCCTCCAAGGAATATATTTTCATTTCTCCTTCAAACTACTCCACTTGCAACAACTACCAGCAGTTGAGTTACGGTTCACATGGGATATGTCACTGATGGATGTCTGTTGCACATATGAGCAGTATAGAAGGATTCAAATGATTGAAAACCACTGCTTTTGAATTTCAAAAGCATGAAGACACACCAGTCTTTGGTTTTACAGCCTCAGTATTCAGGCTTTTCATTTACTCTCAGCCTGCATCCTACAAATCCTATTGACACTACCTTTAAAATATATCTAGAATCCTATCACTTTAAGCCAGCGGAATCATTGGCTTTGATTTGATTTCAATTATTTGATTATCAGTTACTGCAGTTGGGAAATAACAAATAGTTATTTTGGTCAACTGTCCATTTATCACTCTAGGGCATCATAGGAAAGTAGTGCCTTTGTGTATACTTACTTTTTCCAAAGTCTAATCCTGTTTTATAGGACTAGAAACTTTGTCAATAAACCCACAGTGGAAAAATTTTAGGAATACTGACTCATCATAAACTTCAGAGAAGACTGATGAAGTTCAGAATTCCAGTTGTTTATTTTTAGCTAGAATATATTCACATAGGTTGCTTAGTGCCTCATTTCTACTGAAGGAAAATCCACAGGCTTTGTAGTAAGTAAAACTTACTAGCAAGTAATTACATTATACATTACCACTTAGGGTGAGTGATTTCTGCAGTTAATTGCCCTAATTTTGGTGAGTTTAAATCATCAAGCAATAACTTTATGTATGTGTATAATATAAACAAAACCCAAACTTGAACTAAGATAGCAGGTGTACTAGCAAAGTCTTCCAAGAAAAAAACATCAATTATTTGTCCTTGTCTTCAGGCACAATCATGTGTAAGACATTTGAGAAAAGGCTTTATTTTCCACATTTTTTTTTTAACTTTTATTTTAGATTCAGGGATACATGTGAAGGTTTTTTACATAGGTAAACTCATGTCACATGGGTTTGGTGTATAGATTATTGCATGAACCAGTTATTAGTACCCAGTTGTTATCTTTTCTGCTCCTCTTCCTCCTCCCACTCTCCACCCTCAAGTAGACCTTAATGTCTATTGTATCCTCTTTTGTGTTCATGAGTTCTCACCATTTACCTCCCACTTACAGGTGAGAACATGGGGTATTTGGTTTTCTGTTCCTGTGTTAGTTTCCTAAAGATAATAGTCTTCATCTCTATCCTTGTCTGCAAAAGACATGATCTCATTATTATGGCTGCATAGTATTCCATGGTATATGTGTACCTCATTTTCTTTATCCGGTCTGTCACTGATGGGCATTTAGATTGATTCCATGTCTTTGCTATCATGTATAATGCTATAGTGAACATTCACATGCATGTATCATTATGGTAGAATGATTTATATTTCTCTTGGTGTATACCCAGTAATAGGATTGCTGGGTCGAATGATAGTTCTGCTTTTAGCTCTTTGAAGAATCACCATACTGCTTTCTATAATGGCTTAATGAGTTTTTACTCCCACCAAATGTATAAGTGTTCCCTTTTTTCAGAACCTCACCAGCATGTCTTCTTTTTTGACTTTTAGCCATTCTAGTTTGAGATGGTAGCTCATTGTGGTTTTGAGTTGCATTTCTCTGCTAATCAGTGATATTGAGCTTTTTTTCATAAGCTTGTTGGCTGCATGTATGTCTTTTGAAAAGTGTCTGTTCACGTCCTTTTCCCACTTTTTAATGGGGTTGTTTTTCTCTTGTAAATTTGTTTAAGTTCCTCATAGATGCTGGATATTAGACCTTTGTCAGATGCATAGTTTACAAGTATTTTCTCTCATTCCATAGGCTGTCTGTTCACTCTGTTGATAGTTTATTTTGCTGTACAGAAGCTCTTAAGTTTAATTATATCCCATTTGTCAATTTTTGCTTTTGTTGTCTTTGTCATGAAATCTTTGCCCGTTTCTATGTCCAGGATGGTATTGCCTAGGTTGTCTTCCAGGATTTTTATGGTTTTGGATTTTACACATAAGTCTTATCCTTGATGTAATGAACATCAGTATAAAAATCCTCAACTTGCAAACCAAATCCAGCAGCACATCAAAAAGCTAATCCACCATGATTAAGTAGGTTTCATCCCTGGGATACAAAATTGGTTTAACATACACAAATCAATCACATAAACAGAACTAAAGACAAAAACCACATGATTATATCAATGGATGCAGAAAAGGCTTTCAGTAACATTCAGAATCTCTTCATGTTAAATACTCTCAATGAACTAGGTATTAGAGGAACATATCTTAAAATAATAAGAGCCATCTATGACAAACCCACAACTAACATTGTACTCAGTGGACAAAAGCTGGAAGCATTCCCCTTGAAAACCAGCACAAGACAAGGATGCTCTCTCTCACCACTCCTATTCAATATAGTATTGGAAGTTCTAACCAGAGCAGTAAGGCAAGAGAAAGCAATACAGCGCATCCAGATAGGAAGAGAAGAAGTGAGACTATTTGTAGATGACATGTTTCTATATATATCTAGAAAACCCCAAGATATTCTACAAATAGCCCAAAAGCTACTTCAGCTGATAAACAACTTCAGCAAAATCTCAGCATACAAAGTTAATGTACAAAAATCACTAACATTCCTACATACCAAGAGCAGCCAAGCAGAGAGCCAAATCAGGAAGGTAATCCCATTAACAATTCCCACAGAAAGAATAAAATATTTAGGAATACAGCTAACCAGGGAAGTGAAAGATCTCTGCAATGAGAAGGACAAAACAATGCTCAAAGAAATCAAGAAGACACAAAGGGAAAAACATCCCATGCTTATGGGTAGGAAGAATCAGTATCATTCGAATGGCCATACTGCCCAAAGCAGTTTACAGTTGCAGTGCTGTTTCTACCAAACTACCAATGAGATTCTTTGCAGAACTAAAAGAAAATATTTTAAAATTTGTATGGAACCAAAAAAGAACCTGAATAGCCAAGGCAATCCTAAACAAAACGAACAAAGCTGGAACCACCACATTACTGACTTCAAATTATCCTACAGGGTTGCAGTAATTAAAATAGTGTGGTACTGGTACAAAAACAGGTACATAGACCAATGTAACAGAATAGACAGCTCACAAACAAGGCTGTACACCTACGACCATCAGATCTTGACAAAGCTGACAAAAAACAAGCAATGGGCAAAAGGCTCCGTCTTCAATAAATGGTGCTTGGAAAACTGGGTAGCCATATGAAGACTGAAGCTGGACCCCTTCCTTAAACCGTGTACAAAAATCAACTCAAGATGTTTTTTAAATTTCTAGGAGATTCTCTTACTTAACTTTATCATTCATTCAAATGTTTACTGTCCACATTGAGGATATTCCTTTTTCTAATAGTGGGAAATGTGATAGTTAAATCACCTGTAACTCCAAATAACTCAGTAAATGACTTGGGCTTAGGAATTGCTAAGTATGAGCAATAGTCTGGAATCAGCATCATCATAATTTCTTATATGTTAAGAACATCTTAGGGCAAACCAAGATTTATGTTAGAATATGTGGTGTTATGGGTCAGGTTGCTTTTCTTATGCATTTTACCCAGTGAAAAAATTTTATTTTAAACAGACACTATGGCAGATAGTAATAATTGAGAAAGAAAAAAAATCAAAGCTGCTAATTAAATAAGTTTTATATATTCCCTTAAAAAGTTTAGTATTATAATATCAAGAATCATTTAGGTTCACTTATTCAAAAAAATCAACTTTCATATATTTAGACAGTAATAGCCTGCTTGGAAGTAACTGTGTAACTGTGAAAGACTAAGTCTTACTTCCATGTCGTGATAATCTTGACCATTTAGGATATAGTAATAGACAAACCATATAATCTGATTACAAACACTCCTAAAATTTTTGCCTCTTCTGTTTCTCTTCACCTTTGAGAAAACCAAATAATTTTGGATTTCTATTTTAGCAAGAGAATATCTGATAGGTGTGGCTTTATGAAATATAAGTATAATTCACGTTTGCTTAGAAATATAGAGATGATAGCAATAGAATGAACTCACTAGGAACTGGTAGTTTTATGGTCACATCAATACCTTTGATGGCAGTAAGATAGAAGGTAGTGCAAAAGTTACAATATGATTTAAGTACAAAAGTAAAGCTAGACAGAGCAGAATGGAAATAGCACTATTAATGTAAGACTATGATTGTTCTTTTTATGAGGAAAGGGAATTGATGGGTTGTTACTATCATTGTAGTTATTGCTGTTTGATGATACGGCCCTAGTAGAGTTACCACTTTGTTTTTTACCATGAGTTAGCAACCCCAAAATGTTCTACAAATAAAACAGAAGATGCCTTTTACCATAAGAAGTGTAAATATGTAGTATCAGGTTATAATTAAAAATTAATTGAAAAAAATGTATGCTAATGGAATGAGCCATGTCTATAAAATAGAAGTTGTTTCATTTTAATAACCTCTTAAAGATATGATTGTCCCTGGATTGGTTGACTTTTTTAGTTTAATTTTGTAAATAAAGAAGATTATGCTGATGATCAATTTTAACAATGTTCTATATGTTTATGAGCAATGATCATTTTTTATTTCACTTTTATTTTTAGCCTTAGTTCTTTAAAACTAACAGAAGTTGCTGATGTCCTTTATTTTTAGAACCATCTCATTTTTTGGAGGGTGGGAAATGGGATTTGTTAGTAAGAATAGCCACTCTAACGTGAGCGTATGTCTTAGGTAATAACATAAGCATAAGCATATGTCAGATAATAGGATTACTTTTAGATAAACACAGAGACCTTGCTGTGTTCTGTGTGCTCATCTAAAATTAATCCTATTACCTGAGCTGTAATTTTAGTTACACTTGTAAAGGTTTTCTTGAAGTAGACTTTAACATGCAATGTACTTTTGATACTTTCAAGTGAAAAATGTTTAATTCACACTAGATGGAGCTCTTTAGCCAATTCTAGGATTATTTTTCAAAAGTTTATTCCCATTGAATGATCTGGTAAATACAATAGCCCTAACAATTTCAACCTACAGCGTTTTCCAAAATGGCAACAATTACTAAGATTTCTATTTTGTACCTTAGTTTATGTTTTAGATGGTGTATAAGGATGAGGAGGGGGTCATATATGGGATTACAGTCATATGTGACTGAAAACCAGATTTACCTTGATATTTTAGAAACATTTAACTTAATAACAAAAAAACTCTGACTGAACATACAGAAAAATATTTGCTGATCATAACATTTGTATTCTCTTTGTACGATAGAGAATGTGTTACCAATTTGTATAAATTCAGCACTGTTTGTCCTTTTTTCTCTTCAGATTGTTCCTCATGTGGTTAATTTGGTTCATTCTTTCAAAAGTGATGGTCTGCCTTCCAGCACAGCCTTCTTAGTGCAATTAACAGAATTGATACACTGTATGATGTATCATTATTCTGGATTTCCAGATCTCTATGAGCCTATTCTGGAGGCAATAAAGGTATGATAGTTGTACCAGTATCTGTAGAGTTGTTATATTAATATGGTGAACACTGTTATAACCAGCTATGCAGTTTACTATTTTATGGTAATAATGCTTTTTGTTTGAAAAATGCAGTTAGAATCAGGTTTCATTTATGTTTAGGGAGTAACTGCTTTCTTGCTGCTATCACCATTCTAAATTAATAACCATATTTTCTCATTTCTGCAGTGTCATCAATTGTAAGACATAGCTTTAAATTTATAATATCTTTTAGGGCAATTTGTTTAAAAAGAAATGCTACATTAAGTTAATGCATACATCAGATTTGCACCCCAATATTAGAAGTGTTAAAGTATGTGTAGAGTACATCTTGGAATACAGGAAATGGAGTTCAATAAAATATTTGATTTCTTCCCCTTTTTAATTCTTCTTTTTTTTAGTTTTTGAGACTGAATCTCACTCTGTCACCCAGGCTACAGTGCAGTGGTGCGATCTTCACTTACTGCAACCTCTGACTCCCGGATTCAAGTGATTCTCCTGCCTGAGCCTCCTGAGTGCTAGGACTACAGGGGCCCACCACTACACCTGACTAATATTTGTATTTTCAGTAGAGGCAGGGTTTTACCGCATTGGCCAGGCTGGTCTCAAACTCCTGACATCAAGTGATCCACCCGCCTCGGCCTTCCAAGGTGTTGGGATTACAGGCGTGAGCCACTGCGCCTGGCCCCCTTTTTAGTTAGTTCTATTTTTGCTGTGGATTGTTCATGAATGTTTATAATCTTTGAATTATTTGTGGAGTTACACTGTTTTTCAACTTTATATGGAAATGGATCTAAAAAGCACTTTTCTTGGTGGGGGAACAGTCTTGCTCTGTTGCCCAGGCTGAAGTGCAGTGGCATGATCATGGCTCATTGCAGCCTCTACATCTTGATCTCAAGTGATCCTCCCACCTCAGCCTCCCAACTTTTTGGGACTACAGGTGCACACCACCACACCAGGCTAATTTCTTATTTTTTGTAGAGACTGGGCCTCACTATGTTGCTCAGGCTGGTCTAGAATTCCTAAGCTCCAGTGGTCCTCAGCCTCCCAAAGTGCTGGGATTATAGGCATCAGCCACTGTGCCTAGCCTAAAAAGTATTTCTGTTGTTGAAGAATGGATCACAATAAGCTAACTTTTCTCTTAGTAAACTTGCTGCATAATCAGTGTATATAGCAAAAGAATTGGAGAACTGAACTCAGTCGAACTTAATCAGAAATTATTAGAAATCAATTCTATTGTGTTTTTATTTGAGATATGAATTTCAATATAAAGGTCTTATTATCTTTACTTCCATATCTGAGATGGATTTAAAACAGTTCTTTTTACTATATCATTAACTAAATCAAACTTATTTTGATTGAGCTCAGAACACAAAGACTGTTAAGCAATTAATGTATATTGCTGGTGTGACACTGACACTTTAAAAGTAAATTATGTATAGGAGCATTGTGGAGTGGATTTGATGATAATATTCATCTCTTTCAACATTGTCACTGGATCCATAGGTGATAGTTGCTGCACTTGTTAATTGATTGCCATTCTTTGTTCATGAGAGTTTTTATGTTGAAAATTCTGATAACTCATATAGGCTCAGAAGAAACAAGGGGCTCACTGTAAGCCCAAAGAAAACACTTTTTCTTAGTTGTCAAAAAAAAAAAAAAATCAGAAGATTGAAACTCCTTCAGAAAATGTTTGCTAAGATCTAAGTGCTAAATGCTAATAGCAGTCCAGATAAGTCCTAATGATTTTACCAACTTTCCTTATTCTTCAGTACTCTATTCATGCTCGAAATAATTACACTTAAAATGTTATTTCATATTTCACAAAAGTAATAAGAAAAATCTATATGTTGTAATAATTTTCTATATGGATAACATGAGAGTAAGTTTTATTTTCTTAAAGTTAAAAGTCATTGTGCATTGATACTTTGATTTCTCATTTCTTACTTTGGGATTTTATTTCTAAGTGTTAATACTGAGTAAATATTAGTATTTAATGAAAAGGAGACATTTTATTATAAAATTTGAAAACTAATTGTTGGCTTATCTTGCTTAACTGATAGCCAAAATTTAAGTCTTCATTCTACTGCCTTTGAATAGCACTATAGTATATTCTCTGACCTCAGACTTTTTATAGACATTTTGCTGGCATATAGAATGTAAATAGTTCAAATGTAACTTGAATTTCTGACTTTTGAGTATTCTTCAACTTGATAAACTCTGTTATTAGAAGATACTTATTTTTGCCTTGCAGTGAAATTTGATATTTTGATGACTAGCCAAGTACTATCAGTTACTACAAAACTAAGTTGGGGGAAAGAAAGTTCAAATGTCAGTGTAAGAATCTTCATAATGGTGTTAATTAACAAGAAAAATAGTTTTTACTTTACTTTTAAATTGCTTTTCTTCTTTATGATCTATAGGATTTTCCTAAACCCAGTGAAGAGAAGATTAAGTTAATTCTCAATCAAAGTGCCTGGACTTCTCAATCCAATTCTTTGGCATCTTGCTTGTCTAGACTTTCTGGAAAATCTGAAACTGGGAAAACTGGTCTTATTAACCTAGGCAATACATGTTATATGAACAGTGTTATACAAGCCTTGTTTATGGCCACAGAGTAAGTTTAAATTTGAATCTTTTTAACTGTAAAAGTTGATGCATGCTGATGAAATATAAGATGATAGAATTGTTTTCACATTATTCCTTATAAATGGCATAAATTGTTAACATTTCTTATATTGCCTTATTCAGAAATGAAACTGCTTTTAGTGCTCAGAAACCATGAGAATATTAACATTAGGCTGGGTGTGGCAGCTCACGCCTGTATTCCCAGCACTTTGGGAGGCTGAGGTAGGTGGATCACTTGAGGTCAGGAATTCAAGAGCAGCCTGGCCAACATGGCGAAACCCCATCTCTACTAAAAATACAAAAATTAGCTGGGCGTGGTGGTGAGTACTTATAATCGCAACTACTTGGGAGGCTGAGGCAGGAGTATCACTTGACCCCGGGAGGCAAAGGTTGCAGTGAGCTGAGATCGTGCCATCGCATTCCAGCCTGGGTGACAGGGCAAGATTCAGTCTCAAAAAAAAAAAAAAGAAGAAAAGAAAATGTTAACATTAATTCTGCTTATTATTCATTGCATTTAAATGGCACTTTAAAAATTCTAATTTTTTAATAGTGTAACAGAAGGATTGATTGCAACTATTCCAAACAGTTTTTTTTACTAGAGTACTTCATTGTTATCCCGTGAGACTGTCATTTTTTTAATGTGTTTTGAGGGAAGTCATATATAATTTTATCTGCCTGTTGGTAGTTTCATGTTTATCAGATCAACAACTTTGTTGCCGTTTATGAAGTTTAAGTTCTACTTCTAACCCAGGACAATAATTACTGAACACATTTACATAAACAGACATATTCTTTTCCCCTCTTAAGAATTTTCTTTCGAATCCATTTTCTTTTGCAACTAAGCATATAGGAAATCAGGGCCAGGCACAGTTTCTCACACCTGTAATCCCAGCATTTGGGGAGGCTAAGGCAGGCGGATCATGAGATATGGAGATCAAGACCAGCCTGGCCAATATGGTGAAACCCTGTCCCTACTAAAAATACAAAAAATTAATCGGGTGTGGTGGTATGCACCTGCCGGGCATGGAGAGCCAAGATTGTGCCACTGCACTCCAGCCTGGGCAATAGATTGAGACTCCATCTCAAAAAAAAAAAAAAGAAAGAAAAGAAAAAAGAAATCAGAATGCTGTTCCAGTTATGTGAATGCTATCTGCAAAGGTACAAAATAATGATATACTTTTCCTGAAGATAAAAACATGGTTGAATTTTTCTCTTGAATACCAATAAAGTATTCATGGAACTTGCCCAGAGAGGTTTACAAATTGAGTTGTAAGCTTTTCCAAGTTGTTATGCCTGCCCAGAGGAATTGTAAACTATGAAATGTAGAACTTGCTCTATTTTTGGGCCCCAGATTATAGTGTCAGCACTCAGGTGTTTTTGGTTTAGCTTAGCGTTTAATTTTTTGATTTGTTTGTATTTGGAATTTGGGAAGGTTTTATTTTTGTTTTTTTAAGAAAAGGTGTACCTTTGGACAAAAGTGATACTAGGTGTAAGACTGAAAGAATCCCTGTCTTACCACCAGAGGTCATCTAGTCCAGACATCTCCTTTAACAGATGGCAGAGAAAACAGACACCCAAAGCAACTGTAACTGGCAAGAGCAAATAAAAGTTATGTCTTACTGAACAGTGGCCAATAATATTATCTCTGAATAGGAAGACAGCATATATTATTTCTTAAGTATTATATGAATTCTTCTTCATAGTTTAAAAATAATTAAATTTTAAAGTATATAGAATAAAAATCAGACACTCCCATTTCCAAAGGTAATTTGTTAACAGTTTACATTGTTTCAGACTTTTTTTGGTACAGTTACATGTTTGTGTCTAATGTGAAAACAAATGCATTGTTTTTTTAAGAAAATTTCCAGAGAATCCTAATTATATAATCTTTTCCAGCCACTTGCTTTTAGCATTTAATAATTTGTATTGGAAATATTCCCATATTAAGGCAATACGGATCTGTGTCATTCCCAGTAAATGTGTATGCCATCATTTATTTAGTAATATTCCTATTGATGAATATTAGATTGTTCTCCTTATAATTAACATATCTCTGCCCTTATACTGATATAGGGGATTTTCTTTGAATATCTTCCATATCTTGAATATCCTTTGAATATCTTTCAACTTGCTTTCCAAAAAAGCTGTAGCATTTTGAACTCTGATGCTAATATAAAATTCTACATAGACCCTGTACCTTTAGCAGCAAAACAATCTTTTTAATTTTTCACCAATATAAAGAAAAAGTCTCTGTTTTTTGCATATTGCTGCTAATTGTAGAGTTTTTCCCTCTGTTATTTTTGTTTATTCATTTGTGTTTTTCTTCCAAATAATCTGTTCTTTTTGTACATCTTTTTGTTGGGTCTTTTTTGTTTTTCTGTTGATTTATATATACTCGGATGATCATTTTTTGCTACATGCTTTTTTTGAGTCACAATTCAAGTTTATGGGGTGTTTTATTTATGATTATTTTATGTATTCCAGCCTTCCACTTTTCATTTATAGTATCCAGACTTTAGAAAACCTTTACTCTAAATTTGTTCTTTCTTTATTTTAAGGACTTCCGTAGTTTTATATTTTATATCTAGCTCATTAGTCCTGTGGTATCTGTGATGGTGTATAATCTTATATAACTACATTTTTTATCAGATGGACACCCAATTGTCCCTTTGTTTTGTTTGTTTGTTTGTTTGTTGTTTGTTTTTGAGTAGTTTATCCTTTTCTCATGCTATGCTCTTGAAATCACTTTAACTTTATAGTGTATTTTAATGACAGCATATTTTTTATTTCATGAAGATTTGAAAGGATTTAAGTTGTTTACTTATGTTATAAATTAGTGGCTTAACCTACTTCTATTTGCTCATCCAGAAAATAGAAATAATATGTTATAGCACATTGGCCATTAACAGGCTATATAGTAAGTGTTAGTTTATTGCCATTCTCCCCTCCTCCTTTACTGTAATACAGGTAGATAACTTCCGTAGGTAAATGAAGTTTTACTTTAAGGATAATAAATTCTTAAACTAACTTGCTTTTAGCTTTTAAGAAATGCTTTTAAATGGCTAGGCACAGTGGCTCATGGCTGTAATTCCAGCACTTTGGGAGGCCGTGGTGGCTGGATCATTTGAGGCCAGGAGTTCGAGACCAGCCCGGCCAACATGGTGAAACTCTGTCTCTACAAAAGTCACAAAAATTAGCTGGGCACGGTAGCATATACCTGTGGTCCCAGCTACTTGGGAAGCTGAGGCACGAGAATCACTTCAACCTGGGAGGCAGAGGTTGCGGTGAGCTGAGATTGTGCCACTGCCCTCCAGCCTGGGCAACCAAAGGAGACTGTCTCAAAAAAAAAAGCTTTTAAAAAAATGCAAGTGTGTTTACACACATATACATAAATTATTATATTCTCTTTCAGTTTCAGGAGACAAGTGTTATCTTTAAATCTAAATGGGTGCAATTCATTAATGAAAAAATTACAGCATCTTTTTGCCTTTTTGGCTCATACACAGGTGAGTGTGTATCTGCATAAAGTATGTTTAGGTTAACTGCATGGTAATATTCATTAAACTTTACATGATACCTTTTTAACTGATGAAATAATATATTAGGTATCTCACCCAGTACAACAAATCCTTAGAAATGCTAAAGAGGTACTGCCTGAAATATCTACATATCAGGATATCCCCTAAGTTTCTATATTTTTCTCTTGCTTCCTATTTTTGTAGCTGAATGTTATGCTGACACATTGATCTAGAAATTTTTACAAAGAAGATATGATTTTCTATCCAATAAATAAGCTCCTTCATGAAGAATTATTTTTAAATGCATCTTTATTTCCTGACACTAAATTAATAGATTTGTACAATAATGAGTTATTATTGTATAAATTTATTAATATTGTGGTGCCTGGGCTTTTTTTCTTTTCTAAAATAATATTGTGGTGCCTGGGCTTTTTTTTCTTTTCTTATATATACCCATTCATTGTAAATCAAGATCTCTGCAGTTCTGTTTATCTGATAAGTTCCAGAGCTTAAATTTTTGTGGTGATCTTTCATATCCACACATTAGTCCAAGGTAATTAATTTATGTTAATGGCACCAAGGTGGTCATATATAGTAAATATTCACTCAACAGACATTTATTAAGAGACACTATATGCAGTCAATGATAAGCATTAAGAGTCTTTATGTTCACAGAAGTTTTAGATTAGATTTTGAGCCTATATGCATGAATGATATATATATATCATTTATTTGTAATATGTATGATTACTTTTCTGATTTTACTTTCATTGCTTTTATTTCACAGCGGTCTGAAGGAGTAGTACTTAGAGACAGAAGAAAAAATAGGTTGAGAATTGATGGGATTCAATTGATGGGAATGCTTTTGTTTTCTTTCTACAAGCTGAGAACTATCTCAAGTGTAACTCCTTAAATGGAAAGAATCTAGACAGGATTGATATAAGATGATAGTAATGGCCTATGAGTAGTTATACTCAGATGATTTCATTATTCTTTATCTGGGGGAAGTATGTTCAGAAATTAAATTTTTTTTTTCTAGACCAAGGGACATGAAATGAAAACTATCTCCTTCTTCACTCCCCTGTTGTTTCCTTGTAAATTGATTGTTGTGCTTTCTTTATCACTAGTCTGTATTTATTATACATAAAATATATATGTATATGTATATGTATATGTAGGCAGATATATACTGTATTAACTTACTAACTCAGAGCTATTAGAAAAAAAAACCTTAGGGGAGGTTTCCGTGCTCCTCCCAAGAAAAGAAAAGTAGAAATTAACAAGAGCCTGATTAAAGTCCTGGTAGCAGCCTGACAGAGATTATCTTAGGCAGATGGATTTTCCCATGTAATTGAAAAGTCCTTTTTTCTTATAATTAATAAAGGCAACATTTATTGAACATTTACATTTTTTTAGCTCCTGGTCTATATCTTTTATGTCTTAATCATCAAAAAGAGTCTAGTAAGGTATATCCCCATTTTACAAATGAAGAAAACAGGTTTACATTACCTGTTCAGGGTCATGCAAATGAGCAGCTGGATTGAGATACGAACCAAACAGCTCTGAAGCCCATGTAGGCTAAACTTCCTTCCTTCAGATTGCTATAAACAGCCTTAATTTGGGTAAAAATTTTTTTTATTGCATCTTAGGTTTGGGGGTACATGTGAAGAGCATGCAAGATTGTTGCATAGGTACACACATGGCAGTGTGATTTGCTGCCTTCCTTCCCTTCACCTATATCTGGCATTTCTCCCCATGCTATCTTTCCCCAACTCCCCACCCCCGCTGTCCCTCCCCTATTTCCCCCTACTGACACCAGTGTGTGAAGCTCCCCTCCTTGTGTCCATGTGTTCTCATTGTTCAACACCCATCTATGAGTGAGAACATGCAGTGTTTGATTTTCTGTTCTTGTGTCAGTTTGCTGAGAATGATGGTTTCCAGGTTCATCCATGTCCCTACAAAGGACGCGAACTCATCGTTTTTAATGGCTGCATAATATTCCATGGTATATATGTGCCACATTTTCCCTGTCCAGTCTATCATCAATGGAGATTTGGGTTGGTTCCAGGTCTTTGCTTTGTAAACTGTGCTGCAATGAACATTCGTGTGCATGTGTCCTTATAGTAGATCGATTTATACTCCTTTGGATATATACCCAGTAATGGGATTGCTGGGTCAAATGGAATTTCTATTTCTAGGTCCTTGAAGAATTGCCACACTGTCTTCCACAATGGTTGAACTAATTTACACTCCCACCAACAGTGTAAAAGTGTTTCTATTTCTCCACATCCTCTCCAGCATCTGTTGTCTCCAGATTTTTTAATGATCGCCATTCTGACTGCCATGAGATAGTATTTCAATGTAGTTTTGATTGGCATTTCTGTAATGACCAGTGATGATGAGCATTTTTTCCTATGTTTGTTGGCCTCATGTATGTCTTCTTTTGTAAAGTGTCTGTTCATATCCTTCGCCTACTTGTGAATGGGCTTGTTTGTTTTTTGTCTTGTAAATCTGTTTTAGTTCTTTGTAGATTCTGGATATCAGCCCTTTGTCGGATGGGTAGATTGCAAAAATTTTTTCCCATTCTGTTGGTTGCCAATTCACTCTAATGACTGTTTCTTTTGCTGTGCAGAAGGTGTGGAGTTTGATTAGGTCCCATTTGTCTATTTTGTCTTTGCTGCCAATGCTTTTGGTGTTTTGGTCATGAAGTCCTTGCCTACGCCTATGTCCTGAATGGTTTTGCCTAGATTTTCTTCGAGGGTTTTTATGGTGTTAGGTCTTATGTTTAAGTCTTTAATCCATCTGTAGTTAATTTTAGTGCAAGGTGTCAGGAAGAGGTCCAGTTTCTGCTTTCTGCACATGGCTAGCAAGTTTTCCCAACACCATTTATTAAACAGGGAATCCTTTCCCCATTGCTTGTTTTTGTCAGGTTTGTCAAAGATCGGATGATTGTAGATATGTTGTGTTGCCTCCGAGTCCTCTGTTCTGTTCCGTTGGTCTATAGCTCTGTTTTAGTACCCGCATCATGCTGTTTTGATTACTGTAGCCTTGTAGTATAGTTTGAAGTCTGGTAGCATGATGCCTCCTGCTTTGTTCTTTTTGCTTAGAATTGTCTTGGCTATACGGGCTCTCTTTTGGTTCCATATGAAGTTTAAGGTGGTTTTTTTCCAGTTCTGTGAAGAAGGTCATTGGTAGCTTGATAGGGATAGTGTTGAATCTGTAAATTCATTTGGGCAGTATAGCCATTTTCATGATATTGATTCTTCCTAACCATGAACATGGAATGTTTCTCCATCTGTTTGTGTCCTCTCTTATTTCGTTGAGCAATGGCTTGTAGTTCTCCTTGAAGAAGTCCTTTACATTCCTTGTGAGTTGTATTCCTAGGTATTTTATTCTCTTTGTAGCAATTGTGAATGGCAGTTCGTAATAGATTTGGCTCTCTTTAAGTCTGTTATTGGTGTATAGGAACGCTTGTGATTTTTGCACATTTATTTTGTATCCTGAGACTTTGCTGAAGTTGCTTATCAGTTTCAGGAGATTTGGGGCTGAGACGATGGGGTCTTCTAGATATACAATCATGTCGTCTGCAAATAGAGACCATTTGACTTCCTGCTTTCCCATTTGAATACCCTTTATTTCTTTTTCTTGCCTGATTGCTCTGGCTAGAACTTCCAGTACTATATTGAATAAGAGTTGTGAGAGAGGGCATCCTTGTCTAGCGCCAGATTTCAAAGGGAATGCTTCCAGTTTTTGCCCATTAAATATGATGTGGGCTGTTGGTTTGTCGTAAATAGCTTTTATTATTTTGAGATACGTTCCATCAATACCTAGTTTATTGAGGGTTTTTAGCATAAAGGCTGTTGAATTTTGTCAAAGGCCTTCTCTGCATCAATTGAGATAATCATGTAGTTTTTGTCTTTGGTTCTGTTTATGTGGTGAATTATGTTTATAGACTTGCGTATGTTGAACCAGCCTTGCATCCCTAGGATGAATCCTACTTAATCATGGTAGATAAACTTTCTGATGTGCTGTTGCAATTGGCTTGCCAGTATTTTATTGGAGATTTTTGCATCTATGTTCATCATAGATATTGGCCTGAAGTTTTCTTTTCTTGCTGAGTCTCTGCCAGGTTTTGGTATCAGGATGATGCTGGTGTCATTAAATGATTTGGGAAGGATTCCCTCTTTTTGGAATGTTTGGAATAGTTTCTGAAGTAGTGGTACCAGCTCCTCTTTGTACATCTGGTAGAATTCGGCTGTGAACCCATCTGGACCTTGGCTTTTTTTGGTTGGTAGGTTATTAATTGCTGCCTCAACTTCAGACCTTGTTATTGGTCTATTCAAGGTTTTGACTTCTTCCTGGTTTAGCTTGGGAGGATGCAAGTGTCCAGGAATTTATCCATTTCTTCCAGGTTTACTAGTTTATGTGCACAGAGATGTTTGTAATAATCTCTGATGATTGTTTGAATTTCTGTGGAATCTGTGGTGATATCCCCTTTATCATTTTTTATTGCATCTATTTGATTATTCTCTCTTTTCTTTTTTACTAATCTGGCTAGTGGTCTGTCTATTTTGTTGATCTTTCCAAAAAACCAGCTCCTGGATTTATTGATTTTTTGAAGGGTTTTTTGTGTCTCTATCTCCTTCAGTTCTGCTGTGATCTTAGTTATTTCTTGTCGTCTGCTAGGTTTTGAGTTTTTTTTAATCCTGCTTCTCTAGCTCTTTCAATTTTGACAATAGGGTGTCAATTTTAGATCTCTCCTTGCTTCTAATGTGGGCATTTCTTGGTATATATTTTCCTCTAGAGACTGCTTTAAATGTGTCCCAGAGATTCTGGTATGTTGTGTCTTCGTTCTCATTGGTTTCGAAGAACATCTTTATTTCTGCCTTCATTTCATTGTTTATCCAGTCAACATTCAAGAGCAAGTTGTTCAGTTTCCATGAAGCTGTGCAGTTCTGAGTTAGTTTCTGCATTCTGAGTTCTAACTCGATTGCACTGTGGTCTGAGAGACTATTTGTTATGATTTCCGTTCTTTTGCATTTGCTGAGGAGTGATTTACTTCCAATTATTTGGTCAGTTTTAGAGTAGGTGCGATGTGGTGCTAAGAAGAATGTATATACTGTGGATTTGGGGTGGAGAGTTCTGTAAATCTCTATTAGGTTTACTTGGTCCAGGTCTGAGTTCCGGTCCTGGATATCCTTGTGAATTTTCTGTCTCGTTGATCTAATATTGACAATGGGGCGTTGAAGTCTCCCACTCTTCTTGTGTGGGAGTCTAAGTCTCTTTCTAAACCATTAAGAACTTGACTTATATATCTGAGTGCTCCTGTATTAGGTGCATATATGCTTAGAATCATTAGCTCTTCTTGTTGCATTGATCCTTTTACCACATGTAATGTCCTTCTTTGTCTCTTTTGATCTTTGTTGGTTTAAAGTCTATTTTATCCAAGACGAGAATTGCAACTACTGCTTTTTTTTGCACTCCATTTGCTTGGCAAATCTTTCTCCATCCCATTATTTTGTGCCTTTGTGTATCCTTGCATGTGAGATGAGTTTCCTGGATAGAGCACACCAATGGGTTTTGGCTTTTTATCTAATTTGCCATTCTGTATCTTTTGATTGGGGCATTTAGCCCATTTCCATTTAGAGTTAATATTGTTATGTGTGAATTTGATCCTGCCATTTTGATGCTTGCTGGCTGTTTTGCCCATTAGTTGATGCAGTTTCTTCATTGTGTTGATGCTGTTTACCGTTTGGTATGTTTTGGGAGTGGCTGGTACTGGTTATTCCTTTCTATGTTTAGTGCCTCTTTCAGGAGCTCATGTAAAGCAGGCCTGGTGGTGATGAAATCTCTGAGTACTTGCTTATTTGCAAAGGATTTTATTTTTTCTTCTCTTGTGAAGCTTAGTTTGGCTGGATATGAAATTCTGGGTTGAAAGTTCTTTTCTTTAAGGATGTTGAATATTGGCCCTCACTCTCTTCTGGCTTGTAGGGTTTCTGCTGAGAGATCTGCTGTGAGTCTGTTGGGCTTCCCTTTGTGGGTAACTCGACCTTTCTCTTTGGCTGCCCTTAGCGTTTTCTCCTTCATTTCAACCCTGGTGAATCTGACGATTATGTGCCTTGGGGTTGCTCTTCTTGAGGAATGTCTTTGTGGTGTTCTCCGTATTTCCTGAACTTGAATATTGGCCTGCCTTGCTAGGTTGGGGAAGTTTTCCTAGATAATATCCTGAAGAGTATTTTCCAGCTTGGATTCATTTTCCCCGTCACACTCAGGTACATCTGTCAAACGTAGATTAGGTCTTTTCACATATTTCTTGAAGACTTTGTTCATTCCTTTTTACCCTAAAATCTTTCTTAACTGATAACTTCATTGTTATATGCCACAAACAATCAAAATGTCAAGAGAATTCTGAAGTTTCAACTTATAGTCACATCTTTTAGATGCCTTTTCAGTTCTTTTTTGTCATGGCAGAATCTAGGATTTGAACCTAGATAATTCCAGAGTCCACTGTTTAATCACTAGTTTACACTGCCCCTATACTTTAAAAAAAAAAAAAAAATTAGCAAGGGTCCCTAACCAGTAAACTCACAATCTGCACATTTATGACATGTACCTAGTCAAGGAAAATTAGTAAGTATGCATAACTCTGTAGAGTTTTTCCCCTTATTACTTTGTTCAAAATATACATTAATAAAATATACATTAATCTTTTTAAAATTTCATATTTCAAAAAATTGTGAACTCAAACATGTGACTATCATAGAGGGGTGATACCAAGAGCATTATATCAAGACTTAAGAGAGACTTTATCACTAGTCTGTATTTATTATATATAAAATACCTATGTATATATGTACACATAGGCAGATATATACTGTATTGGGTTTAGTAAAGTAGACATGGGTTCTACTTTAATGCCCTGTGCCACTCATTTAGCTGTATGACCCTGGGCAAGTCACATAAGTTTCTCTAGCTCTTAATTCTCCTCAAGTTATAGCTAAAAATTATCCAATTTTATTTCTAAATAATTTTACCTGTCCCTAAGTTGCCGTATCTGGCACTTTTTAGTAAAGGCTGATGCAATGTAACTTTAAATTGTTAAACACTGTATATTAAGATTTCAGTTACTTGGTTCATGCTATAAGAATCACTTCCTTATATTTTCTCAACTGCCATCAAAAGAGGGAAGCATATGCACCTCGGATATTCTTTGAGGCTTCCAGACCTCCATGGTTTACTCCCAGATCACAGCAAGACTGTTCTGAATACCTCAGATTTCTCCTTGACAGGTAAAAAGTATTCTTAAAATCATGATTTGAATGTTGTCTTTCATAACAGTTTAATTCTACTTAATATTGTTTTTACCTTTAAAAACATATTTCAAATGTTACTCTTTAAAATACCATTGCATTTCTTATATTTTTTTAATGTTTTCTTTTGTTTTTAATTTGTTTTCCTTTTTGAATTTTCTTCCTTGAGACCAGCTGTTCTCAAAGTGTGATACAAGGACCCCTGCGGGTTCCCAAAACACTTTCAGGAATCTGTGAGGTCTTCTCTTTTCCAACAACATAATTGTGTAAGGCCAGATTTTCTCTATATCCTTCATCCAAAAAAGCATATAACAATAGAATGCAGAGATATGAGGCTCCAGCTGTCTTCTATTAAGCCAGATACTTAAAATATTTACAAAATGTAAAACACTACCATTTTTGCTTTTTTTGTTTTAAAAAATATAACTTTTTCATTTTTAAAATGTTATTAATATTAAATAACGGGTTTATTATTGTTAAATGTTAATATTTTATTACTTTTCTCAGTTCTGACAGTAAATATCAATAGATATAACCCATATAAAGGAAAGCTCTTTGTTTTTTAATTATTTGTAAGAGTATAAAGGGGTCCTGGGACCAAAAAATTTAAGAGCCACTCTTTTAGACTAGTTCATAATTGTATGGGTTCGATATATTTTATTGTCACCTTTCCACTTAATTAATAAAACTTGTTATCATCTGTTATCTTCCTGTCTTTGTTCTACTGTGTGGAATGAAGTTATTTGGGCTTGGTATGTGTAGCTTTCCTTCATTCAGCTAAGAATCTATTCAGTAGTTTCTTTGTGCCTGACTTTCTATGGAATGTCAGAAAGACAGAGATATATAAGACAATTAAGGAACATTTATAATTAACTGTAATGTAATAAGTTCTATTAAGTAGCAGTATGAAGAAGATGTAATGAGAATATAGAGTAGTAATAGCCACTTGGCTATTTTTTCTGCATTCTCAAACTGTTCAATTTGTTTTCAATTAAAACAGAAATAAAACCTGATTTGTTTATATTAAGCATTAAATTTGATTAAAACAGTTTATGGAAGCCACTAATATTTTTAAATAGAAATGACATTTGAAGTTAATTTAAGTAACTATATAATGATATACTCTCCTGCAGGCTTCATGAAGAAGAAAAGATCTTGAGAGTTCAGTCCTCGCACAAGGCTTCTGAAATTCTAGAATGTGAAACTTCTTTACAGGAAGTAACTAGTAAAACAGCTGTACTAACAGAGACCCCTTGTACAAGTGATGGTGAGAAGACTTTAATAGAAAAAATGTTTGGAGGAAAACTACGAACTCACATATGTTGTTTGAACTGCAGGAGTACCTCACAAAAAGTGGAAGCCTTTACAGATCTTTCCCTTGCCTTTTGTCCTTCCTCTTTGGAAAACATGTCTTTCCAAGATACAGCGTCATCACCCAGTACACAAGACGGTGGTCTAATGCAAGCCACTGTACCCAGTCCTTCAGAAGAACCAGTAGTTTATAATCCAACGACAGCTGCCTTTATCTGTGACTCAGTTGTGAACGAAAGAACCATAGGCAGTCCTCCTGATGAGTTTTACTGTTCCGAAAACACTTCTGTCCCTAATGAATCTAACAAGATTCTTGTTAATAAAGATGTACCTCAGAAACCAGGAGGTGAAACCACACCTTCAGTAACTGACTTACTAAATTATTTTTTGGCTCCAGAGATTCTTACTGGCGATAACCAATATTATTGTGGAAACTGTGCCTCTCTGCAGAATGCTGAGAAAACTATGCAAATCACGGAGGAACCGGAATACCTTATTCTTACTCTGCTGAGATTTTCATATGATCAGAAGTATCATGTGAGAAGAAAAATTTTAGACAATGTATCACTGCCACTGGTTTTGGAGTTGCCAGTTAAAAGAACTACTTCTTTCTCTTCATTGTCAGAAAGTTGGTCTGTAGATGTTGACCTCACTGATATTAGTGAGAACCTTGCTAAAAAATTAAAGCCTTCAGGGACTGATGAAGCTTCCTGCACAAAATTGGTGCCCTATCTATTAAGTTCTGTTGTGGTTCACTCTGGTATATCCTCTGAAAGTGGCCATTACTATTCTTATGCCAGAAATGTCACAAGTAGAGAGTCTTCATATCAGATGTGCCACCAATCTGAAGCTCTGGCATTAGCATCCTCCCAGAGTCATTTACTAGGGAGAGATAGTCCCAGTGCAATTATCGAACAGGATTTAGAAAATAAAGAAATGTCAAAAGAATGGTTTTTATTTAATGACAGTAGAGTGACATTTACTTCATTTCAGTCAGTCCAGAAAATTACAAGTAGATTTCCAAAGGACACAGCTTATGTGCTTTTGTATAAAAAACAGAATAGTACTAATGGCTTAAGTGGTAATAACCCAACCAGTGGACTCTGGATAAATGGAGACCCACCTCTACAGAAAGAACTTATGGATGCTATAACAAAAGACAATAAACTATATTTACAGGTAAGTTGGAATTATAAGCTTTATTATTTGTGGGAAATATTAAATAATTGACAGATAGTTAAATGAGTGCCCTAATTTTAAAATCTAACTGATAAGTTTTTATGAAATTCTGAAATTTGATTCTCGATTTATATGACATTCTCAGCCTGTAAAATTAAATTGCCTTACTTTCTAATATTGTGACTTAATTTAAATGAAAAGTGGCAATTAGATGTAATACAGAATGTAGCACTTTATGTGTTCATTACAAACAATGGCTCATGATGAAATCACGCCATACAGAAATATAGAATGTTTAATAAAGTGGACATATCCTCCCTCTTCACCCACCAGGGGAAGCAACTGCTAAATGTGATGTTTATACCTGCAAGAACTTTGTGTAAATATTTTAAGAGCCATTTATTGATATTTAAGTGGATAAGATTTTTAAAAACACTAAAAGATAGATTATGTAAAGAAAAGTATTCATGTTCTTTGAGGATGTGGGCAGTAAAACCAAGGAGATAATAAAATTGTAAATAAAAGCCATGGAATGTTTTTATATGATACCAGTTTATTCATAAATATACTTCTTTCAAGAAGTTAGTGATTTTATTACTTAAGTAAAAGCTAATAAAAAAGTCTTGCTGAAAGAATTTTCTTTTTTTTTTGGAAGCTTACCAATTTCTCAACATACAGGGCTAGCAGTAATTACAGGTGAAATTCTAGGTACATTAATTAGGTAGTCCAAGTGATTTAGAGTTTTAATGAGTATGTTTTAAAATTTTTGTGTTTGAATGTCACTCCTAAAAAATACAGATAAAATAAGTAAGCCAATATAATACTGATTTTTAGAGGAAAATTTTTTCAAAAGCTTTCAAATGTACTGCATTATAAAATACTCATCTGACACATTTTTAAAGAAGTATAGCAGTGTTCTTGCATGACATACAAAAAAATTAACTTTACGGAAAATAAAAAAGAAAATCAGAATATTTGTTTGAACTGATTAACTACCAAAGACTCTAACATCCAGTCAGATGGCTTATGATCAACATACTAGAAATAGAATATATTCAACTGTGTTCTGCCTAGATATCATATAAGCCCTAGTTAGATCTTCACAATTCTTGAAGTTTGAAAAGGTGGAATGAGGAGGAAAGGGTTAGTTTGAAATAGAAAATTTCTATAATATAAAAGATAGATACAAGGCCTATTACAGTTTTGACTTTTGGATTATTATGTATCAGTGATTTAGTGAAATATATTTGTCAAAGGAGAAATACAGGTTTTGAAAGACAAAAAACTACCTCATTTCTGTGATTAGAATCCCAAATGCTTGTATAGTCAGAGCAACACTTGTTTGTAGCTTAGCTTTTAAGTGATTGTCCATTTTATCTTGCAGTTTAGGCCATTACTTTCTAATTATGCAGTATTTGAGCATGAGGAACCATTTTTCATTATTATTTTAAGGCTCTTATGTAACTTTAAAGAAAAAGCATTATGTATTTTGTTAATTCAGTTTTTCAGTGTTGTGCAGTTCTAAATTTGATCTTAAGTTTCATATTGACAAGTTGTTTAATGCAAAAAAAAAGATACTGCCAAATTTTCCATTAAGGTATCTACATGTATTAAGACTAGGTAGTAAATCAAAGTTTCATTATCAGAGTACCCTTTGAAAGCAAAATATAATATATAATAAATATTCAATTTTCTTTTTTTTTTTTTTTTTGAGACTCTCATTCTGTCACCCAGGCTGAGGTGCAGAGTGGCATGATCATGGCTTACTGTAGCATTGAGCTCCTTGGCTCAAGTGATCCTCCTGCCTCAGCTTCCTGAGTAGCTAAGGAGTACAGGCATATGTCACCATGCCTGGCTAATTTAAAAAAAAAAAATTTTTTTTAAGACTATCTTGCTATTTTACCCAGGCTAGTCTCGGACTCCTGGGCTCAACCAATCCTTCTTCCTCAGCCTCCCAAAGTGCTGGGCCACTACATGTGGCCCAATAATCAACTCTTGATTAGAAATTTATAGTTAAGAGTGTGATTATTTACATTTATTTAGTTTTTGACACAGAGTCTCATGCTGCCACACAAGCTGTAGTGCAGTGGTGCGATCCCAGCTCACTGCAAACAATTCTCAGGTCTCAGCCACCAAAGTAGCTGGGATGACAGGCATACCCCACCATGCCCAGTAAATTTTCTTGTATTTTTAGTAGAGATGGGGTTTTGCCATGTTGGCCAGGCTGGTTTCAAACTCCTGGCCTCAAGTGATCTGCCCACCGTGGCCTCCCGAAGTGCTAGGATTACAGGCATGAGCCACTGTGCCCAGCCTATTTACTTTTAAATACAGTGATTGATAAAGGCTTAAATTGTGAAGTTTTTCATACCATTTAATCAGATCATTCTGGTATTTTAAGTGCATGTTAAGAGACTACGTTGTTTATTCTGTTATGTGAATGCACACGTGCTCATAATTGCCAGGCAATAGGAAACTATAGTGTTGAGGTTGTGTATACAGCAGTTTTCAGCTATCACTTTTTAGTTTTAAACACATGGATCATGTACACGTGTGTTTTCATTCTTACTACTATCTTCATTTTTATATCCATTTTTGAGATACAATTATAAAAATAAGTCATGCTTCATAATAGATTATTATGTCTGTACTATAGCTTTAAGAAATAGCAGTATACCTATTTATAAAACAGTTATAAAAACTTAAATAGTAAAAGTAAGGATGTGAAGTGAACATTTTTATTTCCTCTGTTCTTAAACAATATTGCTAATCTACCATTTTTGTTCATATCAGGGTAGCTGCTTTCATTTTAATGTTTCATAATCACAAGAGAAACTCACCTTGTGACAATTTTAAGGAGGTTTTTTTTAGGATTTCATTTTTAAATTTTAAGATTTTATTTTTCAATTTTAAATCTAGCCACAACCAGATTTACAGGTGTTAAAAAATGTTGCTCTTTTAAGTATTGGCAAGATCTGTGGTTTTTTAAAACCCAAGCAAAAAATCTTTCATGACAAACCATTTTCTACTCTGTGTATCATTGCCTGACATTTGAGAAAACAATACAAATTGTGAATCTCAAATTTTTTGAAAGGGCTTTTTCCTTCATATATTTATTTCCCTTCAGTCCAGCTTCCATTAGGAGTATCACTATTGTTTTAGTGTCTGGATTACAAAAACTAAGCCTTTGGTTAGGATCCAGTGAGAGATTGTATAATGCATCATCATTGCTTTGTCCAGATTCCTCACCCATCTATATCCTGCATCAGCCACAGGCCGCTTCCCATCTTACCTTGCTTGATTTCTTTCCTTTGTTTCTTTGGAGGAAGTGGTAGTTTAACTTCTTTTTTTTCTTTTTCATACATTCAGAAGAGTATATTCAATATACATATATGTACAGTTTAAAGAAAAAAGGATTAATGCCAACAGTTTTACTTGAATGAGAAATATATACTGAAAATTATTTGTCTAAGGAGCAGTAACTTTTCTGTGACTAAACCTGTAGTCAACTGAAATTAGAATTAACTTTAGTACTTGATATATATTACACATTCTATGATAATCATAATTTTGGCATTGTATACAATGTTGTTACCTATATTAAGTAAAATGAAAGACAGTTTTTCCTATTTTTATCCACTGTCTATTGTCAGAAAACAGAATACCACACATTTTTTCTGTCAGCCGTATACTTCTATAAATAATAAAGCAGAAAAGGAATATTTCTTTTTTGGGATGCTGTATATCTTAAAATACAATATAGGTTTCATGGGTACAGATGCAATGGAGTTACTAATTTTATATTTTATGTCATTCGACATAGTTTCTGAAAGGGAATCACTGTATAAAAATGTGTATGCAAAATTTGCCATATTTTTTAGTAGCAGAAGTTCAGGCAGAACTTCTTGAGCTCTACCTTACATGATTGTTAAGTTTTAATTTATTAGGGAACGTCATCTATATATCTGAAACCGTGTATTGTTTCTCAGATACAGAGTCATAGTTTCATTGCTTGTTTGGATAATTTAATACATTAGAGAGATAGAACAATGAGGATTGGCGGGGGTTGTGTGTCTGTTTTACTTATGGCACTTATTTTAAATCTGTAAAACATTTGTAATTCTTTAATTTTATAGATAAAAGGATAAATTAATATATATATATATCACCTCAAAAATACTGTGTAGGTAGACATTATACCAAAGAGCCAGCAATTACAAATGTAAATGATGCAGTAGATTACAAAAATGTTTTTCAGAAATATTTTGCAAATTAAGTTTTAAAAGCTGTATCAGAGACTGGTTAGTTAAGCCACTTTGTTACAAGGATTTAGCAAAGGTCCCTTTCAGCCATAAAAATAGGTGTTTCTTGATGATTTTGTGTATTGAGACTTGAACAGAAGGTCCTGTATTCTACTGAAAAAATAAGGTATCCATAATGTGAGGGGTAAGTGTTAGGGTATGCCTGAGTATTTTCTTCACAATGAAAACTTGAGCATTTTGTAAAAGGGGAAGAATAGTTAACTAAATCATTTTAGCTAGAAATTATAGTAACATTACCTTGCCAAGTGGAACAAAGTCACTAGGTGTTAAGTTGAAAAATTGAAATAATAAAATTTTTGTTATTAATGTTAACTGTATTTTAAAAGCCCTTCAGGATGCTTATGCTAACAAGTTCAGGGTTATCCTGTGACCAGTAACTTTTAAACCTTATTTTCACTAACTCCATTTGAAATCTATAGATCCTCTCCCAGAAAAATAGGCACATGCCAGGATATTCCGCATATTTTCCAAAGAGTTTGTGGGTCCCCAGTTTTAGAATACAGTTGTACACCTTGCCAAATGAATCTGCCGTTATTTATTCACATTTGCCCCCTTGGAAGCTAAGCACCTAATACTATTCTAATCTGAAATCATTAATATTTATTGAGTACCTAATATATGCCTGGCATCTAGATGAATATAACTGATTTCTGATAAAAGTTTTCCTGATAAGGAAAAGTTTTAGATATTACTGTAAGGAGGTAGGCTTCATTTTACTTGTCAGTGTTTTCTGAGACTAGTCTTATTGTTTATTGAGAAGTAGTCTATGGAAAGGGTAGAAAAAAATTCAGTCTTCTTCCTTTAGCCATACCTTTAACTGTTATCACCCAAAATAGCCCCAATTGCTGGGGAATAATCTATTGTGATAATCTTTGAATTCTATGTTAAATATACTAGAAAACAATCTATTCCAATATGTTTTAGAGAGTGTTGCAGGAACTGTAATGTTTTCTTAGAGAAATTTTTTTTCTTAGGTGCTTTAATTTCAAAGTTACTAAGATTTGAAGAATGCTTACAAGGATTAAGGTAGTTTAAAATATTTCTCTAGGTGATATAACCATCCATTGTATTTAGCATTTTAATTTTATAAAATTTATTTTTAATTTTAGGAACAAGAGTTGAATGCTCGAGCCCGAGCGCTACAAGCTTCATCTGCTTCTTGTTCATTTCGGCCCAATGGATTTGATGACAATGACCCACCAGGAAGCTGCGGACCAACTGGTGGAGGGGGCGGAGGAGGATTTAATACAGTTGGCAGACTCGTATTTTGATCCTTAGAGAGTCCAAAATGCACTGGTCACGAAACGTCTAATACTATGACTGTTAAAATGTCAGACTATAACAAATATCTATCTTTTATTTTTCATTAGACCCTTATACTTCAAGAGAACACACTCAGTGCTTGTTTTTATTTTCTTGACACATTTATTAACAAAATGCATCATGGAAAAAAAAAATCTACCTCTTAAATTCCATTTGCTTTTATGGTTAGACATGCTTGACCAAAAACGTTCAGAAGAAAATATGTACCCGGTCCCTAATTAAGCTGCATTAAATTTGGTAGAAGCATTTAAATGGTCTATCTTCGGTTTTACTGAATAAAAAATGTAATTTATTTAGCATTCTTTATAAAAGAATTGATGCTAGAGGTAAGAAAATAATTGTTTTTTAAAAAATCCTTCATGTCTTGTGTAATTACCCCATTCAATATTAAATTCAAGTCTTTGAAAATCAACTAGAGATGATAAAATCTCTAAAGAAGGCAATAACAAAATTTATCAAGATATAGTACTTTTCCTTTTTTGTTTAGTGTCTTCAGCATCACTGTATCTGCATTTTAAGTGCAAATGTTTTTAAAAAGGATTCTTTAGACATATGTGCTGAATTGATTTTAAGAAAGTTGCATGATCCTGTAGGAGCAACATTTTTACCTAAAAAATGCTAACTTTGTAGTATTTCTAATTGTTCAAGGATTTTAAAATTCTATTTCAGGGAGTATATCTTCTGTGTGTTTTGAAGGAGGTGAGTTCTGTATGTGCCTTGCAGTACTGTAATTCAAAAATAGGAATCTTTGGCTGCAAAATGTTTTTTTAAAAATGAAATGTTAGGAAGTAATTTTTGTGCTAACATTAAAATTATAACTTTTGAAAGGAATTAGATTTTCCAGAAGTAAAATCTGATCGTTCTAAATCAATGAGTGTGATAGTTCATTTTTAACTCTCAGAAGAATTCAGAGTAAATGAATCCAGCTAAGTAAAAAATCTTTCTTGATTTTGTTACTTATTCCTCAGAATATTAAACATTGATCACATATTTTTAGAGTTGTACATTTGAGTTTTTTGTTTGTTTCAGTCATATGTTTTGCACATTTGTTTCTGTTTTCACAGTTTTAGATAAAATGTTAAAATGCCAAACCCTACCTTCCTATACTTTTCTTTTGCCAGGAAACTGGAAACATGTCATTTCTCCTGAGTCTGGATTATACAGTACTCAAGAGTTATCCCAGTTATCCCCCTTCCTAAAGGTTTTAACTTATCCACAGTTGTGCATTGTTCTGAAGATTGGTCTCATTTATTTTGAAAACATTTTACGGAAAGAATGTTCTTGGGTGATTTGGAGTTTATCTTTTTCCCAAGCTTTTATGGCAGTGGTTAAAAAACAGAAATCCTCATGTTTATTCCACTACCTCCCATTCCTAACCTGTTTCTAGTCACCGGGAAGATTAGGAAAGCAGATTAGACTAAAAACTGAAAATTATTTGCAGGTTTACTCAAGATTCTCCTCCTTATAAATGAATGAACCAATTATCATGCTTTTCTGTGATCTTCCATTCCCAACAGTGAATTTCTGAACTACCCTGTGTATTCAGTTATCCACTTACTTGATAGTAACTTATGATCAGATTATATCAGTCTTGGCATTTATTGAAATTGGTAAAGTCATTTAATACTTGGTAGATTGATATTGGGCTAAGATGCTTCTAGGAACTTTCATGAAAGCAATTAGACTTACACAGCTTTATCTGTGAATATCAGGTCTCTCAAGGATTTTATGTATCAAGATGATATATATTGACTTTTTTAAATGATAAAATGAATTCTAGTTAGTATCCACAGTGGACTGGTTCCAGGACACCATCCCCTCATATTGAAATCCACAGATGCTCAAGTTCCTTTTTATAAAATAGCACAGTATTTGCATATAACCTATGCACATCCTCCCATATTCTTTAAATAATCTCTAGATGATTAGATGTGATTGCATAGCACTTACATTGTGCTATGTAGTTGTTATGCTGTATTGTTTTTTCATTTGTATTATCCTTTATAATATGTATTGGTTTTTTTCAACTTTCTATCCAAAGTTGTCTGAATCCACAGATACAGAGCCTGAGGATTTGGAAAGCTGACTGAATATAGTAACTGAGAGTATTCAAATGATAACTTTATACCAATACCAAAAATGTGAAGACTTCCTTTTAACATTAAAAATATAGTAAACTTTTAAATTATTTGTTGAATTCAACATATGTGGAACCACAATAATCAGAAGCTTCATTCAAAACCTATGCAGCTGAACTTTTTTAGTAAGGTAATACTCAGGACTGCTCTGATTCTAACAGATCCCTCTTACTTAATTACAGATTTATTTGTCATATTAGGTTTTTTCTTTCTCTTGTGTTTCTAACCCTTGTACTTAGTTCTGATTCTAGGAAATACTGTTGTGAGGTTTGACTCTGAAAACTGAGTAGAGTACAATTGCTCTTTGTCTTTTCTTTAGTCCAAAGTAATCAGTAAATGAAGTTACTCGTTGCTGCTAAGAAGCATAGGCTTCACTGCTAGCAAAATGAAAAACTATAAATCTGGGTTTGTTTCTTTCAAAGATGTTTATTGACACATTTAAAAAAGTAAAAAATTGTTTAGAGAGATGCAAAGAAGGAAATATATATGATGTCAAACAAGCCCCGGTAACCTATCTACTAAGCAGTTGCCTATGCAACTCTGACTTACAGCATTAACATATCTCAAATTGGAGGAAGGATTCTAACTCATTCTCCAAGCATCTTCCCACTGCCTCTCTTCCAGCTAAATAATCAGAGAAGCAGGGCAACATATGCCTGGAGGTCCCTGACTTTTGTCTCCATATCTTAAATTATTGGTAGATCCTTTGGATATAGAGATAAAAATCCATTATGATGTCTAGAGGTATTGAGGGGTCCATGTGAAAGGTTCAAACAGCACATCTGGAAGGAATAAAAATATTTCAAGCTAAGTCTTAAGTTTAAATCATGTTTTTTTTCTCTTTAGTTCTGTTCTTTGTATCACAACATTATTTACAAAGGTAGTTGTTTTCTTTTAACATACTACCTCTTTAAAGCTATTCTCTTATAAGTGGGGTTGGATGCTTATTGTGTGCCCAGCACAGTTTTGGAAAAAAATAATTGGCATAATTTGTCCAGTTACTGGAAATCTTCATTTTGCTGCTGTGTACTTTGTTCCAGGTTTTAATTCTCAGTCTATCTTTTCCTCTGATTGTGTACTTCATAAAATATATTCAATATAAAGAGCACCTTTTTTTTTTTTTTTTTTTTTTTTAGACAGAGTTTCGCTCTTGTTACCCAGGCTGGAGTGCAATGGCGCAATCTTGGCTCACCACAACCTCCGCCTCCTGGGTTCAGGCAATTCTCCTGCCTCAGCCTCCTGAGTAGCTGGGATTACAGGCACACACCACCATGCCCAGCTAATTTTTTGTATTTTTAGTAGAGACAGGGTTTCACCATGTTGACCAGGATGGTCTCGATCTCTTGACCTCGTGATCCACCCGCCTCGGCCTCCCAAAGTGCTGGGATTACAGGCTTGAGCCACCGCGCCCGGCCCTAAAGAGCACTTTTAAAACGAGTATTTCAAAAATACTGTACATTTATATATTTTTTTCTCATAAAAATGCTATAGTTTATATATCCTTTCATCATTCATTGTTTCTAATGAGTTTAGATTTCTAGAACTAAATAGTCCTGAGGTAGAGAATAGTAAGTTATTCACATTTTACAGAAAACTTATTAGGAAATGCCAACTGGTTGTCATTAGCAACTCAGTGGCATCATCCAGAAGAGTAAGGTTAAATCTTGGATAATGCAAACCTGTAACTAGGAAGTTAAAGCACAACAGTAAGGAAATGTGAATTAAAAATTGTTATCCCAAAGAAACAAATAATTCTAAAATATAAGCTATTTCCTGTGTCTATTCTTAAGCTTTATCAAACTGTTCCATATCTTCAGTGTTAGCCTATGTTAATTTTTTAACAGAATCCTTTTTTAGAAGTGAACAAACCTCAAAATGAATGGGGGATTAAAAAAAAAAAAAACCTGCTTTTTAAAAAACTAGCTTGTTTAAAACAAAAGCTTTCTCATATGAAGAAGTTAGGAATAATAATCATCGAAATAATTTTTAAAGAAATGAGAATCAAGATTTTTATAAAATCAGCAATCTAGGTTTCACAAATTCAAAAGGATTTATTATGTAAAACCACTAGCCCCAGTTATATAACCAGAGTGGACTTAATATTAAAAATAGAATCTAAGAAGTCAGCCAAGTGTATTGCCAGCTCTCATCAGTGTCTGTTATGACCTGCAGTTGTTTTTCTCTTCATGGATCTCATGTTTTCATGTTTTGCTTGTGTTGTTGAAACACACACGGACACCCCTTGATTTCAGAGGGTGAAAAATTTAGGCTTTCCTGGCCAGATCATCAGTTTTTATCCTTGCATTTCATGTTAAAAATCACTTGAAGAGCTTTTTTTAAAATAATACCACATCCAAGCCTCATCCCAGACCTATTACGTTAATGTGGAGACTGGGCATCAACATTTTTTGAAGTTCCTCACATGATTTTACTGTGCCACCTGGGTTGAGAACTAACTGGACTACAAAAGGAATTTTTTCCCCTCGTAGGTCTTTTGTTCAAGGGGATTATCAACGTATGCTGAGAGTCTACCATGTGCTGGGTGCTGGCAGTTATTTATGTGTCTTTTTAACTTACACCAGCCCTGTAAGTGTGCTCATACCCATATCGTCCCTCACACCTTAATGGGCAAAGAAAATAAAGATACCAATTAAGGAACTTGCTCAACATCACACACCTAGTAAAAATCAGAACTAAGATTTTAACCCAAGTCTTCAGAACTCCAAAATCAATACTCTAATAAAGCGACAGGACTTCAACAAATTACATATTAACAAAAGCGTAATGCATTTTATAAAATGAAGTCTCAGTGTATTTCACTTATCCTTTTGCACTCCAAACATGATTCTTTAAGAAAAATAAAATTTACTTTGTTCAAACCTTTATGTGATAATATAAAGGGTTGAGAAATGTGGTTCTTAACAAACTCATTTGTTAAATCCATCTAGTGTCTGCTTGCTTTACTACCCTTATCTCTTCCATTCTTGCCTTTATGTCCTCTCTCATGCATATTGGACCTTACATCATTTTTATTCACACAGCACCATATACTTGCCATCTCGAGACCTTGGTACATGCAGGTCTCAGGATAGCATATCATTTGCCTCACCCTACTTTCTCTTCCCAGCCTTCAGCTGACTAATTGCCTCTCACTCTTCAGTATGTTCATATCTTCTCATACTGACCTCCCAAACAGATTAGTCCCTCCCCCCCACCACCCCACCTTCCTTTATCCTGGGGTATGTATTGTGCTTCCCTTTGAGAAGGCCATAGCTTAGCAGTGGGGCTAAATTAGCACTGGAGTAAAGTCCAATTCTTTACCGTGTAAAGTTTATACCCAACAAAGATTAAAAGTAGGTCTTAAAAGGATCGAATTCTAATGCTGGTTAAATTCTTTAATTTGTCTGCATACAGGACAAAGTGCAACGCTCTTTAAAGAAATGCAAGCCAAGCGCAGTGGCTCATGCCTGTAATCTCAGCACTTTGAGGGGGCCGAGGCAGGCAGATCACAAGATCAGGAGTTTGAGACCAGCCTGGCCAACATGATGAAACCCTGTCTCTACTAAAAATAAAAAATTAGCTGGGCATGGTGGCATGCATCTGTAGTCCCAGTTACTCAAGAGGCTGAGGCAAGATTCTCTTGAACCCAGGAGCAGAGGTTGCGGAGAGCCAAAATCGTGCCACTGCACTCCAGCCTGGGTGACAGAGCAACATTCTGTCTCAAAAAAAAAAAGAAAAGAAAAGAAAAGAAATGCAGTATACATAGCCAGCATTTAAAAAGTAAAATTTACAATATCCAGCACCTGATCAAAAAGTATGAGGCATTCAAAGAAGGAGAAAAATCCAGAAATTATGGTAAGAAA